AGGCTATTTTCCACAAATGTTCCATTTCTTTCCATGTCTTCACATCTTCATCCTAGGCCAGGGGTAGGCATCCTTGGCTCTTTTATGACTCGTGGACTTCAACTCCCAGAATTCCTGAGCCAGCCATGCTGAGGAGAAAGGGAGAGGTTTCCAAGCTGAGCCATGCTGGCTCAGGAATTCTGGGAGTTGAAGTCCACGAGTCATAAAAGAGCCAAGGTTGCCTACCCCTGCCCTAGAGGATGTCATTTCCCACTTAGTTCTAGTAAAGCAGCCATCTTGCATGGTCATCAATAGTATAACAGGGTTGAAAGGGACCTTGGAGGTCTTCTAGTCCAACCCCCTGTTCAGGCAGGAAACCCTATACGATTTCAGACAAATATCAAACCCATTTTTGTTTGATCTTTTTCTGAACAGTCATAACTTCCATTCCTTATTCTAGCTCTGTTAACCACCAAAGACATTAATTAAGATAGATAGATAGATAGATAGATAGATAGATAGATAGATAGGTAGGAGAGAGAGAGAGAGAGAGAGAGAGAGAGAGAGAGAGAGAGAGAGAGAGAGACTTTTCATATAGAAGGGGATACAAGTGCTTTAAACTTTTTTTTTTCTTCTGATGATCAGAAATTTCTGGACTCAAAAAAGGGGGAAAAAAGGAAAAACCACACATGCTCAGACTTTCAAATTATGCCAAGATAAATATTTATTTAAACACAGCAGGACTTACAGATCACAAAAAGAGAATATTACAGGAGCTCAAAGGAAAATTGTCAGAACCAAAGCATGCAGATCAGTCTTTCACAGAAGAGAGATATCAAAGCGGTTTTGAAAAGGCACATTCACACAGGAAAATGTCAAGTTGAAATCAAAGCATCAGAGTGGAGGAAAAGAGACAGGCGGAAGGAAGATCTCTACCCCGATTCTGATTCGTAAAAAGGGTTTCTGATGCAAAAGGTTCTGCCAGTTTTGCAAACGAGGGCAAATTGAGTGATCCAGCCATTTAATCCCACTGCAATGTTTCAAAAAAGGGCCAATGAAGGCAAATCAGGGGAAGAGGGGCAAGAGACACACACCCCCAGCCCCAAGGCCAGACAATTCAATCAGACAGAACCGAGAAAAGGGCTAAAATTTGGCAGAAAAATAGCAACAGGTTGAAATTAACAAGCAGAAGAGGCGTAGAAGGTTAAAAGTTGGTCAGACTGTTAATTCCACAATCAATTCCACCTTCTGTTCACAGAATTAAAGAACAAAGTTTAAAGAGACAGTATCCCCTTGAAAGAGCTAGAAAAAAGTCTCTCTCCTCATTCCTGCTGTGTTAAGCCCGTTTAACCGAAGAGTAATTGATTTAAATATCCCTTTTTCTCCCCCCCCCCACCACCCAGACATCAATTTCTTCTAGTCCCCGGTAGCTTGCTTGCATAAATTCTCAGCGTGGAAAGATTAAAAGCTGGTTTTGTTTGCAATGCTAATACCAGATGATAAGAAGTCCTATGTAACTTAGGAACTCCTCTCTGAAACTGACAGAAAAGGGAATGGAAAAAGGGAATACTGTCCCTTTTTGACAATTCAGTTTACAGAAACAAGCAAAGAAAAAAGGAATCTACTTTCAATTAAAGTGGTAGAGATATAGGAAACATTACCAAATTCAGAATGTGAAACGTTTTATTTTCTGTCTCTCTACGTATATACTGTACATTATACAGCGTTAGGGCTGCGAGCGTTATTTCAGAAAAGGTGCTTTGCAGTACCTGTCTGCAACTCTTGAAAGCAGCTGGGAGTTTCTGAGAAAAGATGAAGCTGCTTTAAAGGGTGGAGACAGGTGTTCCATGCAGGGATCCTGTCTGATTCCTCTTTGGAATCAAATCTGCACCGCTCCACAGCTCTAATAGATACACAGAGAGAAAGAGGCAACAGGACAGAAAAATAGTCGATTTATCAAATAACAGTAGACAGAAAGCTCAAGGAAAGTTTAGGCAAGAAGGAATTTTGGAGTCAGAGCAGATGTCATTTAACTATCAGCATCTTAGGCAGTGTTTCTCATCCTTGGAAATTCTAAGCTGTGTGGAATTCAGTTCCCAGAATCCCTCAGCCATTAGCCCATGTTCCAGCCATTCACCTATGTTGGCTGGGGAATTCTGGGAATTGAAGTCCATGCCTCTTAGGAGTTGCCCAGGCTGAGAAATCCTGATCTAAGGGATCAAAAAGTAGCAGAGGACTCACCATTCCCTTTCCGCTTGGTGTAAATTTTTCTTACGCTTTAACTACATTTTATTGTTAAGTCTGCATCAAAAGGAAGCATGGAAAATGCTACCTAAGCTTGATTCCCAGCCAATAGTTAAAATACTTAGCTGTTAATCTTGGTTGGCATTAACTATTTCTTTGGTACCGCTGGGATGGCAAGCTGTGGATATGGGTTCTGGGATTTTGATTGAGGGAACAGAGAAGTCCATTTTTGATCCCTTAATCATGACTGGGAGATGGAAATATTAACCTTGAACAGGCCCTTGGCACCAGAAACTAGATAAATACTTGATTCTGGAAAATAAGGAATGGGGGGAAATCACTCTCTATAACAGTGTTTCTCAACCTTGACAATTTTAAGGCATGTGGACTTTAACTCCCAGAATTCCACAGCCAGCAATGCTGGCTGTGGAATTCTGGGAGTTGAAGTCCACATGCCTTAAAATTGTCAAGGTTGAGAAACACTGCTCTATAAAGTTTAGCATCAAAGCATAGTACTGACTTAAATCAATCTCAGGATCCAGATTGCATCTTTGGGTGCAAACTGAATGGCAATCATCAATCCTTGAATTGCTACGGACAATGAATTCATCAAACTATCACCAAGACAGATTAGAAAAATAGTAGGAAAAAAGTGCTTTTGAAAAAACTCAAAATTAAAAAAAAAAAAAATCTTTCAAGAACAACCACGGTAGGTACCAGACGACTGGACAACCCACCAGACCAGATCAAACATTTTAACCTACAAAAAAGGTTTAATTCTTCACAAAGCAAAATTTACTCCTGATATTTCAAACACCCTGTTAGAGAAATCCCCTTCTTCTAAAGCCAGCAAAGGGTTTGTTTCTATGTTCCCTACCTAAAAATAGAATATAAGATTACAGTACATTTACTTTTTCTCCTCCTTCACTTAACGATGTAGAAGTACATGGTTTCTGGAGCAATTGTTTCCTTGTCACCCATACTAATACTGATTAACTGTTGTTTTGTGTTGGAATATTGTGATTTTTTTCCCTGTGTTTTTGAAGGCCACAAAATTCAGTGATCCACTCTAGAAAAATTGGACCTTCCCCCCCCCCCAAAAAATCACTATCCCATGAGGTGATTAGTTTAATTGTTTGCAACTAAACTGGAGATAACCAATTCATTTTCTGTACGGTATCGTTCATTTCCTAAGGAAAACTAAAAGGAAGAAAATTCAATACAATAGTTTCTCAACCTTAGCAATTTTAAGATGCATGGACTTCAACTTCCAGAGTTCCTCAGCCAGCTATGCTGGCTGAGAAATTCTGGAAGTTGACGTCTACACATCTTAACTTTCCCAAGATTGAGAAACACTGCAACACAAGATTTGCTGGCCTTTTATTCCATTCAGGACAATTACAGAGGCATTAGTGTTGTTTGGGGTTCCGGTTGATGGGAGAGAGCAATCCACTACGACCCTCTCACCTATCATAATTTAGTACAGGTGAGAAAACCCAAAGAATTGGCCACACCCTTGTATTCCAGGTATCCAAGAGGACACTGATTTTCTGTGGGACCTTTCTGTGGGAGGATGGCTCCCAACCCACTAGCAGCTGATGCAAAAGGATCAATATTCACTAGAATAGTGATCTCAGTATTACGTTTTCCTAGATCAAAGTCTATTGTTTGCACCCTGAATCAGAAAGGCCATTAATGACTATATCAATGCCAGTATTGGGAATCTTTTTTGCTGACTGCATACCAGAATGAAAAAAAAAATGCCTTAATAGCACCATTCTGGGTTTACAACGCAGTCACAGTTGTCTCTGCGTGAACCCGGAATGTAAGAAAGCCATCGATCCACAGTAGGGGAAAATATCACAATTTCTAGCATTAAACACAGCTAGGGCCTGTTATTATTGCTAATTTCTTCCAGAATACACAGGGATGACAATCTAATGATCTGTGCAAATGTGAAATAGCAGCTATATTATTCAAAAGATATTCTGGTGCAGAAATTGCATGAGGCAGAATTTCAAGTGAGTACTGGCTGTATCTTCAACTGGGGTAGAATTAGGGATTGACCCTCCCCTCCCCGTACGCATTGCCTTAATCTGGTCAGACAGTACTTTAATACCTATGACTAGATTTAATACTGATTCAAAAGCATAACTTAAACTGGCCTTTAAAGTCCCAGTTACACTGACATTCTGATTGATTTAACCACTGGAATTAAGGTACTACTTTATTGGGATTAATGAAAAAGGAACTGGAGGCTGTTTTCATAGCTTAGAGAGACACACCCCTGCATAGGCCAGAACTGGTTAACTTCTTTCCAACCCTGGGATTTTTTTTTTAAAAAAAAAAATCTTCACAGCTGCAGGAAAATTCAAAGGACAGACCCCGTGCTTTGGAAAATGGGAATGTCCACACAATGGCATCAAATCCCTTTGCAATCAGTTAGTTAAACCCAAAGCAGCCTCTGACAGGTTCTGCTTCTGTCTTACACTATTAGTGACACAAGAGAAGAGTATTTTGCCTAAAACTGGGGCTGCTAAGAGGACATACTGTGTAGGACAGGATCTACCTCAAAAACCAGCTGATCTAGAAACTACATAGAAGGACACCAATTAATACTGCTTGATTAAGAGATGAGCAGCTAGCCCAAAATACAGATTCAGGATGCTTTTCCCATGGCAGGGTCAGTGCAGAATACTGAAATTCAGCTCATGAGACAACATTTTGGGACTTTTCCTGGAGCTGCTGTTACCAGAGCAATCTAACTAGTTCCTCACCTGCTGCTGGTGGATGTTGACCACTAACCGTTGGTAAATCCAGAGAGCTATCAGACAGGACATGCTTAAGGTCTCCTCCCACATCTGCCAGTTTCATGTCAAACTGGACAGAGAGGGCGTCTTCCGAATCCTCCTTGCCCACGCTGCTGCCACCAATGGATGGGAGGTCGAGAGACTTGACGGAAGCCGAGTCCTCCTTGGTGTGCTTGAAAGCGGCCAGTTTGTCGACGAGGGATTTTTCCGAGCTGGAGGAAAACTTGCTCGAGTGGAAATCAGCAAAATCGTCTTCGCTTTTCACCGAGGAAGGAGTGTGGTCTTTTAGTTCCTCAAATCCCAACCCAGGGCTGTCCAGAGACAGCTGCTTGAAGATGTCGTATTTGTTGGAAGCAGCAACGGGGCTCTGCCCGTTCTTGACGACACCGGCTAAGGAGCCAGCAGGGGGAACAGCGTTGGCGTCTTGCTTGAGGGCGCTGTGTTTATCATCCAGCTGCTGCTCCAGAGAGACGGCGCTGTTATTGAAAGCCATGAAGTCTGCAAATTCGTCCTGAGTGGGAGCCGGAGGACAACTCGACAACCCGCCAAAAAGGTTGAAGTTGGCAAAGTCGCTGGCCAGGGCCGAGCTGCTGCCTGGCATGGGCAGAGTGGCGGCGGCCGGTGTTGGGTGTGATGGTGTAGCAAAATTTGCTGGTTTGGGGGAACTGTACGCAGTTGGAAAGAGAGCAGGTTGGCTCTCTCCAGTTGAGGCTGAGGAGAACAGATCCAGGTCTGCCAAATTCAGAGAAGGCTTTGCTTGGGGTTGTTGTTTGGGCTGTAGAGAAAGGGAAGAGAAAGGGGAAGGAAAGGCTTTGTCCTTGCTCGGCGGTTCTAGTGGAGAGATGCTGTCCGCGGTCTTGAAGTCAGTGAAGCTGTCATCTGTTCCCGGGGACTTGAAATCTGCAAAGCTCTCGCCTGAAAAACAGAGGACAGCCAAGTCAATTGGATTTCATGAACATTTCAACCCAGGGGTCCCCAACCCCCGGTCCGTGGACCGGTACTGGTCCGCGGCATGCCAGCAACCGGTCCGCACAAACAAGCAAAGCCCCATCCTCAGGATGCAGGCTGCACACAAAACCACGCAATCTCCGGTCCTTGGAAAAACCTTTCTCCACAGATCCCTGGTGCCCAAAAGGTTGGGGACCTCTGTTTTAACAGGCTTCACCGAGCACCGTATCTGCTAATTCCCACCTGTTCAAAATGTCCAAGGGCGGGGGAAGTAATTTTATTTTGTCCACTTTCCATGTTACTTCTTCTCAAAGATTCAAGGTGAATAATCTTTTAATGTTTTCCCAAAAAAAGCATAAATAAAAGATAATAAGCACAAATGAGGTTAAGTTAAGGATTTGAATGTTTTGTTGATTCCAAGGCAAATGTAGGGGAAAGAGTGGCAGAACTTGGGGGCGGAGTTAAAAGAGGGATCAGTCTAGAATCCCTACGTAGCCAAGGTCCACCGCTCTTATCTAACTCTAACTAGGTTAGTTGAGAAGATTTCTATGCATGGGTATGAAGACTAATGAAAGAGAATATTTGTAGCTCAGGGCAGGCATAAGGGGTCCTTGGCGCTCTCTGAGCTTGTTTTCTTGCAGACGTTTCATTACCCAAATTAGGTAACATCATCAGTGCTAGCAAGAAAACAAGCCAGCTTAGAGAGCACCAAAGGCACGAAGAGCAATAAATCAGTGTAACTGGACCTTCAGGTGTGGACCTGATTTTTTGTCCTTGACCAGAAAATATATAAAATATGTACGTATGGACTGTCTCCTCTTTTGGTAGCCAGGCAGAGCACTTAACATTACGTTACTGTTGTCCGCTGTGGACCAAGCTACGACTGGACCTTTTAAAAATTATTTCTGCCATATATGGACTGCTCCAATCTTCTATCATAATTCTGGGTAGCTGACAATACAGCAATAAAGAATAAAAGATTAAAAACGAAGATTATACTGCCAAAAAAGTGAACGTCTTGGAAAAAAATCAGCGTCCCTTCAAAAGACCAAAACATCAGACACTAAAACAAACCTGGGATTAGAGGCAGATTTTAATGGTTTGTTTCAATAGGACGTCAACGGGAGCCATACGGACTTCCGGGAGGTGGATGGCATTACAGAGAGCAGAGGGCATGAGAGGTGAATCCCATTTCCTTGGTCTCACCAGATGACGTTGTTTAAGCAGTGGGACCGGGAGCACACCAAGCTTGGTCAGAATGCGTGGCACAGGCAGAAACTATGGGGGACAAGCGTTCCCTCTGTCACATACAGCCTTTTATGTAATAACTAGCACCTTCTAACACAGGAATGTCAAACTCGCAACATCACGTGACGTGTCACAACATATTGTTGGCATTGCTGGCAATGGGTTGGGCCAGTTTCTCTATGATGCATTCGGCAATTTGACACCCTTATTCTAACAGAAGAGAATATTTATAGCTCAGAGTTGAGCTGTGGAGTCCTTGCTGCTGTCTGAGCTTGGTGGTTATCTTGCAGATATTTCATTACCCTTGCACTGACGGTATTAGCTAGTTGGGTAATGAGACGTCTGCAAGAAAACCACCAAGCTCAGAGAGCAGCAAGGCGTCCACAATTAGCACCACGAATGCACTCAGGAGCCTATTGTCAATCGGCACAGTTCACAAAGCGGAGGTGTTACATGCCCATAACTGCCTGCGCCCATAACTTCCTGTTTTGGATGATGGTGACTTTTTCCAGAATGCTGCAGCGTGAGTCTGTTTGCTAACTCAGAAACCCACAAAACTACGTTTTTGACTCAAGGAGTTTCTGAGGGACATAAGAATTTGGGAAGCCTTCTGAAGTCCCTAGGGCAATAATGGCGAACCTTTTAGAGACCGAGTGCCCAAAAACTGGCCTCGCCCCTGCCCCACCCCCGCTCCAGCCCTACCCCACCTGCCCGCAGGGCCACTCACTGCCTCCAGGGCCTGCTGCAGATCGCCCAGGCAGCCCAGCAGCGCCATGGTGGCCACGCTCTCTGTCTGTACCCTGCAGCATCAACTGTGCACGATGGGGCGTGAGGGCAGAGTCTTGTCTACGCTTGCCTGGTTGCCGTGTCCTTGGCTGCGCTGCTCTGCGTGGGCCATGCTCGGGGGTGACTCTCCTCCAGGGGGGCTGCTGGTGAGGAGGGGGTCGCGGGGGGAGGCAAGGCTGGGACAACGGCACGAGTCTTGCTCCGAGTGCCGCCTCTGGCACACATGCCATAGGTTTGCCACCACTGCCCTAGGGTGCAAGTTTCTCACCATTATGGTGAAAGAAATGAGTGCATTATTTGGGGCTGGAATATTCTCATGGCACTCATTCCTTTTGAGAGTTCTAGTCCCACCTTAGGCATGAAAGCTCACTAGGTGACTTTGGGCCAATCACCAGAAGTTCTAGTCCTGCCTTAGGCATGAAAGATCTCTGGGTGACCCTGGGCCAACCATTCTCTCTCAGCCCAACCCACCTCACAGGGTTGTTGTGGGGAAAATAGGAGGAGGAAGGCGTGTTGAATAGGTTCACTGCCTTAAGTTATTTGTAAAGAAAAATAAAGGCGGGATACAAATGCATACATAAAAATAAATGGGGTCACTAAGACTCTACACTGATTGGATGGCACATCATTACAACTAATCACACATGACTTCCGGTTCCGGTTCGCGGTGAGTCCGGTCGTATCTGGAGACTTGTCTCTACACTGGCTGGGTTTTTATTTGCCGGGTAGACCCCTTGTGGGTCAAAAGTTGCTCTGGAGGGGCGACCACCGAGGAGGAGGCTTGCTGGAGACTGCGGGAAGGCAGCGGCTTCTCTCGTGTCTCCAGCTATTTCCTGAGGGCTGACGGAGCAAAAGATCGTCCTGTAAGATGGCCGATTACCCTGCTGCACCAGCCAAAAGTCACAGCAACATCTAAGCATGAATAAACCCACCGCGGATGATCTGGGTGAGACCCTTCTCCTCCTCTCTTCACCCTACTTTGTTCTTTTTTTTGCCTGTAAAAGCTCTGTTGGAATCATTTCCCCGTCTTGAAAAAGCAGCTTTGGTATGTGTGGGAAGAAAGGCGCTGAACAAAAAGGTTAAAATAATTTTTTTTAAAGACTACACTTTATTCTTATCTACTTTGGGGTATATAAAAATCTTTTTTTTAAAAGCTCCTACTATCATATTATACTGGAAGATTGTTTCTTTTTCCACCTTTTTCTCTAAAAGATAGAAAAAGGGGAAAAATGGTGTCTGGAAAAGATTTTTTTTAACCTATTGAGGACATCTACTGGCGAAAAGTTAATATTGCAACTGCTGGTTACTGTTTGGAGATGAGATGGACTTGGCCTTCAAATTACTTTGATAATAAGATAAGCGGATGCAGCTGTGGGAACTGTGGGGGTGGATACTGCTTTACTTTTATTGAATACAGCCTCCACTAAAGAAAAAAAGGGACTCTCTTCAATTATTATTAAAATGGAGAAATCTTATTCACAATTACAACTAATCACACATGAATGGTTAGTTTAAAATGGAATATTTACTCAACTTCTTCAAATTTGGCTTAACCCATTCACCAGCAGGACGTAAAAACATCGAAATAGCCAAGAACGTACTTTAAATTCAACCCAATTCAATTCAATTTAAGATTTGTTCTTTATGTCTCTTATCTACTCAGCTACAGCCACATCCAGAGGCAAGCACACACTTCATTTTTGATAAAATATTCAAATGACCATCACCAAAGCAAAAATTAAAAAAAAAAACGACACCCAAAACACCCAGTCGAGTCAGTTTCCCAAATGCTGCAGTAGCGAAACCAACAGATCAGTCTTTGAGACCGATGTAAATTCTGACCAGTTGGGAGATTTTAGGGAGACTCCTTGATTCTCTCCTCAAAAGTGGTGCAAGTATCACCTTTACCAGAAGGCCATTTGTGAAACTGACAGTACCGCAGACCAAGAAATGGGCACAGCAAAACTTGACTTACAGATGGGTTGCAAGCTTTTCCGTTAGAAATGTAAGCTGGTGAAAGGGTTAAAAGTGACAAAAAACACAGTTCAAAACCAACTTGCCTCTTCGGTCTGAAAATGAAATACAGGTAGTCCTTGATTTACAATTATTTGCTTAGTGACCGTTTGAAGTTACAACGGCACTGAAAAAAGCAACTTATGACCGTTTTTTACACTTAGGATTGCTGCAGCGCCCCCCTGGCCTCATGATCTAAATTTGGACGCTTGACAACTAGCTCATATTTTAGGAGGTTGCAGTGTCCCAGGGTCACCTTTTGTGACCTTCTGACAAGCGAAGTCAATGGGGAATTCAGATTCACTTTACAACCGTGTTACTAACTTAACAACTGCAGTGATTCCCTTAGCAACGGTGGCAGGAAAGGTCGTAAAAGGGGGCAAAACTCAATGAACAATTGTCTCACCCTTAGAAACAGAAATCTTGGGCTCAGTTGTGGTTGAGAGTCGAGAATTGCCTGTATTGGACTGGCTTCAACCTGGCTGAAAAACTTTTGAACTCACTGAGTTAAGTGTATAGATATCCAGCAAACCCATCACGCCTAACATGTTAACATTATTCACAGCATAAAAACAGCAATTTCAGTGACGATGAGTCAATGAGGATACTCTTGCCCTATTTTCAAGGATATTGTTCCCCCCACCTTTCTATAATTATGTTGAAATCAAATATGGATGCAATCTTTGGGGAGTGGGTGGATGGTCCTCACTTTTTTATAATATTTTTAAACCCCTCCATGATCCATTGGGACATGGCGGGAATAAAAGGGTTCATGCCCTAGCAGAGGCTTAAAAACCTATTTTAGCCCTAATTTGAGAGGTATGTGTGTGTATGTATGTTTGTGTGTGTGTGAAAATAAGAAGATAAATGGGCTGCTAAATGTTAATGGGGCAAGCCCTGGAGAATGCATTCCCATGCTACAAAGTCATCAGATAGTAGAACGCAAAGGTTTTTTTTTTCTTTCTTATTTATCACCTTGCATGCGATAAGTGGTCCTATCAATTTGATAAATAAAAAACTTTCTTTCTTTTTCTTTCTTTTTTCTTTCCTTTCTTTTTTCTTTTTCTTCTTTTCCTTCCTTCCTTTTTTCCTTCCTCTTTCTTTCTTTCTTTCTTTTTTCTTTCTTTCCTTTCTTTGTTCTTTTTCTTTCTTTTTTCCTTCTTTCCTTCCTTCCTTCCTTCCTTCTTTCCTTCCTTCCTTTTTTCCTCCCTCCCTCCCTCCCTCCCTCCCTCCCTCTTTCTTTCTTTTTTTCTTTCTTTCTTTCTTTCTTTCTTTCTTTCTTTCTTTCTTTCTTTCTTTCTTTCTTTCTTTCTTTCTTTCTTTCTTTCTTTCTTCATCATATGATTCACTTGCTACAATATTTTGTGCTTATTATGCTAAGATTGTAGCAGGGCTATGTTACAGCTGAACTGGCTGTGAACCCAAGATTAAAAATGCATCTCTCCCAATCTGGAAATATATAAAGCAAGCTGGCTGCATCAAACTAACCTCAGCTCAGAGTTTGTTAGTCATGGGATGGCTGCCAACCCTCTTCTAAAACCGCAAACAAACAAACACACACACAAACACAGGCAGAAAAACCATGCCATGAAGAAGAAATTGATTTTGATGACAGAAATTCCATCTTTCTCAGAATATGCAAGCTACTTAGCCTCGTAAACTTTATGCAGATTTCCTTTATTATTATCTGCTTTAAAAGGACCTCTCATTTCTTGCTGGTACATAAGTAACAATAAAGGGAGATGGGAGAGGCACTTTGGAGAGTAAGATTGGTGGCAAATGAATGAATGAACGAATGAATGAAGTTGCGTCTCTCTTTGGTGTTTCTCCATAACTTAGCAATAGCAATAGCATTAGACAGCGGCAGGCAAGCGCGCGGGAAGCTCCATTTGTACAAGGGGCAGGTGCACGAACCCGCCCCTTGCGCAACATGAAGCTGTGAGCAAGCGAGCCCACGCCTGCTGCTTGCACAAAGCCATCCCCTCTCCCCTCCCCACCGGTCCGCAAAGGCGGAAAAGTTACAGACCCCTGCTTTAGCGCACTCTCTGAGCAGCTTACATTGTCAGCATATTTCCTTCAACAATCAGAGTCTTCGTTTTACTGATCTCGGAAGGATGGAAGACTGAATCGACCTTGAGCCCCATCAAGATCGAATTCCTGGCTGTGGCAGTTTGCCTGCAATACTGCATTCTAACCAGCTCTTGCATTTAAAGAGAGGCTGTTTATACAGGTAGTCCTCGACTTACAACAGTTCGTTAGTGACCGCTCAAAGTTACAACAGCACTGAAAAATGTGACTTATGATCGTTTTTCATAGTTATGACCTTTGCAGCATCCCCATGATCATGTGATCAAAGTTTGGATGCCTGGCTGACTCATATTTATGACCGTTGCTGTGTCCCAGGGTCATGTGATCCCCTTTTGCGACCTTCTGACAAGCAAAGTCAATGGGAAAGCCAGTCACTTAACAGCTGGGTTACTGACTTATCAACTGCAGTGATTCATTTAACAAGTATGGCAAGAAAAGTCATAAAATGGGGCAAAACTCACTTAACAAATGTCTCAGTTAACAGAAATTCTGGACTCAATTGTGGTCGTAAGTCAAGGACTGCCTGTACTTACGGAAACTGCAGTATTTAAGCCAGAGGATAGATTAGTATTCTGCAGTATTTTAGGCACATTCCAAAAAACTGAAATTGACCTGAAACACCTCCCCTTATGTTCTGCCCTGCAGAAAAAATAGCTTTTTCCTCTCAATGACTCAGCTTAACATCATCATAAGCTGCACAGGTGTTTATTCTGACTCAGGGTCTCATAATGGGATAGACATTTTGTCCCCTTTTAATTGAGAATAACAGGCTTTGAGATTTGGGACCTTCTGGATACAATTCTTCTATGTTACCAACTCCAGAAACTGCTTCATCAATCAAAAACAGTACTTGATGTTTTTCTCTCATTCTATTTCATTATTTTTCATTTGTATTGCAACCTTGTCCTTTGGGTGCAAATCATGAAGGATGGTATATGAATGTCCTAAATCAAGAAATAAATTACTTTCCCTAACAGATGCACTCTTTTTTTTTTCCAATCCAGGTAATAGGAATTGAAAGAACTAAATTGGGAATTTCTGTATACAAATCAAAAAATGTTAACATTGTTCTATTTTTATACACTGCGGCTATATCTCATCCAATCTCCTTGGAGATTGGGGCAACGTATGTGGCCTTTATGTCCCATTGCATTATTATTTCTTCACAATTTAGCAACGTAGGTTGAGAAATAATCACCAGTCTCAGATAATCCAATGAGATTCCAAGTCAAGTGGAGTCTAGATTTGATCTTTTAACTTTTTCTGGCTTTAATCTGACATATCGCTGTACTAAAGGGGCCTTCAATAGCTTTCCAGACCTTTCCCAGTAACTCGGCCATTTTAAACTGGAGATGCTGAAGCTCAATACACATTGTCTAGCTGCAGTTAATTACAGGTACAAGTAGTCCTGCATCCACACAGGGACAGGTTTTTCAGAGTAGACCTTGTTTTGGAGTATCCCTTCCCACCAGAGACTTGTGGTTGGGGGGAATTCTGGGTGTTGAAGTCCACAGGTCTTAAAGTTGCCAAAGTTGAACACTCCTGATTTAGACTGACAGGCACTCTAGAAAGAGTACAGAGAAGAGCAACAAAGATGATCAGGGGACTGGAGGCTAAAACATATAAGGAACAGTTGCTGGAATTGGGAGTGCCTAGTTCAGGGGTAGGCAACCGTGGCTCTTTTATGACTCGTGGACTTCAACTCCCAGAATTCCTGAGCCAGCATAGCTCAGCTTGGAAACCTCTCCCTTTCCCCTCAGAATGGCTGGCTCAGGAATTCTGGGAGTTGAAGTCCACGAGTCATAAAAGAGCCAAGGTTGCCTACCCCTGGTCTAGTTTAATGAAGAGAAGGACGAGGGATGACATGATAGCAGTCTTCCAATATCTCAGGGGCTGTCCCAAAGAAGAGGGAGTCAAGCTATTCTCCAAGGCGCCTAGAAGCAGGACAAGAAGCAACGGATAGAAAACAGGCAAAGAGAGAAGCAACCTGGAACTAAGGAGAAATTTCCGGACAGTGAGAACAATTAACCAGTGGAACAACCTGCCTCCAGAAGCGGTGAATGCTCCAACACTGGAAGTGGTATAGGGTTTCCTGCCTGAGCGGGGGGTTGGACTAGATGACCTCCACGGTCCCTTCCAACTTTATTATTACTACTGCTGCTGCTGCTACTACTACTACTACTACTACTACTCTAGTTGTTCTGACATGAAGGAATAGTGTTTTGACCTGGAAGATATTGGAGGAGCTTCTCTAGAGAGAAATATAAATACTTTAAATAACTAAATAAAGTTGCTTTAGGAAGCGCCTGTTTTTGTTGACGGCATAGAGGTAGTTCTCGACTTACAGTCATTTGCCTAGCAACCATGAACAGTTATAACGACACTAAAACAAATGACTTATGACTGGACCTTGCACTAACCTATCATAGCATCCCCACTGTCACATGATCAAAATCTGGATGATTGTCCACTGGCATGTATTTACAATAGTTGCAGCATCCCACAGTCGTGTGGTTGTCATTTGCAACCTTCCCAGCTGGCTTCCAACAAGCAAAGTCAAAGGGGGAAGCTAGATTTTCTTAATGATCCCTTGATTCTCTTAACAACTGCAGTGATTCAATAGAATAGAATAGAACATAACAGAATAGAACGGAACGGAACAGAATGGAAGGGAATAGAATAATGATAAAATAGAATAATGATAGACTAGACTAGAATAATGATAGAATAGAATAGAATGGAATGGAATGGAACGGAACGGAATAATGATAAAATAGAATAATGATAGACTAGACTAGACTATAATGATAGAATAGAATAGAATAGAATAGAATAGAATAGAATAGAATAGAATAGAATAGAATAGAATAGAGTAGAGTAGAGTAGGGTAGGGTAGGGTAGGGTGGGGTAGGGTAGGGTAGGATAAGAGCTGGAAGGGACCTTAGAGGTCTTTTAGTCCAGCCCCCTGCTCAAGCAGAACTATACCATCTCAGACAGGTGAATGTCTAGTCTCTTTTCACAACAACCATGGCAAAAAAGGTCATAAATTTGGCCACAATTCACTTAACAAACACCTTGCTTAGCAGTGGGAATTCTGGTCGTAATTGTGGTCGTAAAGCGAGGACTACCTTTACCTCCAGTGAAACCCTTTATCTTCTAGGATCTCCAGCAGACCCAAATTTAACCAATGACAGAGACCATTAGAAAGCCCAAGGAAGGCTGATTTTGAAGGTTCTGCATTGGGCAAAACTTACCTACAGATTTACTCTCCAACGGCTGCTCCAGTTCTCGAAAAGCACTGTATTTATCTCCATAACCTACAATGTATATTTTTTTAAAAAAGAGAATGTCATTAAAATTTTGATGAGCGCCACAAAGTTACTGTTCTGTAGTAGCCTGCGGCCAATATTTTATTATTTATTCAATCATTATGCCATCCATCTCCCCTACAAGGCGACTCTGGACTGGAGGGTTTTGAAGGTTTTACAAGAGCCAGTTCTGATAAGAGCAGACTGCCTCAATCCAAATTAGTCAAGTTATCAAAATGAATTTTTAATTGTCCCTTTTGAATATGAGAAAAGCGGAAGGGAAAAACATCAAATTTACAAAGGTAACTTTAAAAAAACCCCCATTCTTCAAGTAACTGCCAACTTTGAAAATGAGCGTAGCTGCAGCCATTTTCCCTACTTATTTTCAGTTGACACATAGCACGGAGGGAGGGGGGTTTACCAGGCGCTTCACTAGACTAAACGGATTTTCTTCCGTGGGAACCAAGGTCATCGGTTTGGTTGGGCTGGGCATTTTATGAAAAGCCCAAGAAGATCTATTGGGGAACATAGTAACTTGCATAGCTGTAGGGGTGGGATTTCTTAACTTTGTATTGGGGATTGTTACGTGTCTATTTGTCAAGGTTCTGACTAACGAAAACACTTCAAAGAACTTTCAGGCATTGTTTATCCTAAAAAGTCTTTAATCATGAAACAAAGTGTGGGCACAGCATAGTGGATGCCAAGATCTGAATTCCCCTCCCCTGAGCGCATAATATTCAAACATAATTCCCTCCTCTAATTTGCAGTCATAAATCACGTTCTCCAATCAGTTTGAAGGGCAAAGTTTTCCTTCAGGTCTGTAGCCTGTGGTTTCTTATCTTAACTAATCCCCACACACATTCTTTCCCTCCCAGCATCATCCAATTTAACTCTAAAAGTACCACACAGCTTATACCAGTGATGGCGAACCTATGGCACACGTGCCAGAGGCAGCACTCAGAGCCTTTTCTATGGGCATGTGCGCCATGCCCTGGAGATGGCAACCGTCCCTCTTCAACCAGCCACCCGCTAACTCGCTGAGGTCCCACATGGCCGGATGAATCCCAGCATAGCTGGTTTCCCTCCCCCCTGTCCCATCCCTCCTGGCCTCGCATGCTCTCCTTTTTCCAGGCACGACCCACTACATCTATGCTTCTCTGAACTGCTGGCGGCGGGCTGCGGAGCCCCAGAGTGTGCCAGTCGAGGGGCCGGCAGGCTGTGGCTGCTGACGGACAGTTGGCCCCCATGCGCTTGCTGGCCTCTGTGTGTGTGTGGGCCGATGGTGTCAGGCAGCAGCCGCCCCAGCCCCTGCCCTGCCCTATGGCAATGGCATCCCTGTTCTGCCTCACCTTGCCTTGCCTCACCCCACAGGATGAGCCTCCTGCCCACCGCCCCACCTGCCAGAGACCACCTGGATCTCCCCCAACCTTGCCCAGCCCCTACAGGCATCCCTCCCCATGAGCAACATTGAGGTGACCATGCCCACCTTGGCCACACCCACCCAGTCTGGCATGACCACCATAGCCACACCCACCCAGTGGGCCATGCCCACCTGGCACCCGGCGATAAATAAGTGGGGTTTTGGGTTGCAGTTTGGGCACTCGGTCTCTAAAAGGTTCGCCATCACTGGCTTATACAGAGAGTGGCTGCCTCTTCATATTTTGTCAAAGCAAGAACATCCAATGTTAGTAGCGTTGACACTATTCAGACTTGGTTTCACTTTTGACCTGCCGATACTTTGTATCAATAAACATGTTCTCTGAGGAATTTCCAAGCCTCAGAGTTCTGCTTTATTTGTCTCTGACAGAACCAGGACAGTACCTTCAGCAGGCTTGTCAGATGCAATCCCTTTAAAGACAGCATATTTATCCACAGCAGGTGTCACTTTGGGACCTGAAAGGGGTATCAGCATTGAAGGAGCACTAAAGAAAGGAAAAAAAGAGAAGTCAGTGCCTAATGGGAAAAGGAGGGATATTAGATACAGGTAGCCCTTCACCTTTAACCATTCATTGAGTAACTGTTCGAAGTTACGACAACTCTGAAAATAGGACATGACCATTTTTTTCACACTTACGGCCCACTGCAGTATCTCCACGGTCACGTCATCAAAATCCACCCGCTTGGCAACCGGTTCATATTTATGACGGTTGCAGTGTCCCAGGGTCAAGCGATCACTTTTTTTGCGACCTTCTAACAAGCAAAGTCAATGGGGAAGCCAGATTCACTTAACAACTGTGTAATCAACTTAACAACTGCAGTGATTCCCTCAACAACTGTGAGGGAAGAAAGTTTGTAAAATGGGGCAAAGCTCAACTGCCTTGCTTAGCAACAGAAATTTTGTGCTCAATTGTGGTCGTAAGTCAAGGACCACCTATATTGGGATAGATATGGGGTAATAATAATAATAATAATAATAGTAATATAGAAAAAAATCATGATCAAGATCAATTCCGGTCACGGAACAATTTTACTCAGAATAAAATATGGGATATGGATGTTTCAGACATATATCAGAATGAAGGAAGTCACAAGGAACAAATATGTCCCAATGCCTGCCAATCTTTATATTAAACATTCTCTGAAAATATTTTTGGAATAACTGATTATAATATGGAAAATCAGTTTACCACCTACAAACATTCTGTCACGAAATTACAGCCCTTTTCTTAAGTGGTGTATTTTAACTTTTAAAAAGGGGCCTGCGTCTTAATGCACAAGAAGGCACAGAGTTACTGAATAACAGAATAACAAAGTTGAGAGGGACCTTGGAGGTCTTCTAGTCCAACCCCCTGCTCAAGCAGGAAACCCTGTACAATTTGAGATAAGTGGCTGCCCAATCTCTTCTTAAAAACCTCCAGTGTTGGAGCATCACAACTTCAGGAAACAAATCGTTTCACTGATTAATTGTGGAATATTGGTAGTCCTCAACTTACGACCACAACTGACACCAAAATTTGTGTTGTTAAGTAAGAACTCAGTCTCCTGGTGATTGGCCCAAAGTTACCCTCCCACTTTCATGCCTAAGGCAGTTTTGCCCCATTTTATGAGCTCTGTTGTCACAGTTGTTAAGTGAATCACTACAGTTGTTAAATTAGAAACAAAATTAAGTGATTCTGGCTTCCCCATTGAATTTGCTTGTCAGAAGGTCACAAAAGGTGATCATATGACCATAGGATATGGCAACCGTCATAAATATGAACCAGTTGCCAAGCATCTGAATTTTGATCACGTGACCATGGGAACGCTGCAACTGTCATAAGTGTGAAAAACATTCATTGTAGCTTTGCATGGTCACTAAATGAACTGTTGTAAGTCAAGGACTACATATACTGGAGTTACTAGAAGTTACTGGAAAGAGCACAAAGAGGTTTTCTGTCTGGGGGGGGGGAACTGATACTAGAAGGGGGGCTGCTGCAACCACTTCTAGCATCCCTTCCTTCCACAATATTCCTTTTCTCCCACGTTTTTTGTGGAATGTGGAAAAGAAATTATGCCAATGATTTAAGGACTCTCTGCTTGATCCACAGCATGACAACCTTCCAAAAATAGCACACCCCACAATTAAATTTGGCATGGAGGGAGAAGCGAACAAAAGAAACACCAAGTTTGAAAATGAACAATAATCAAGCTGGTTAAAGAGTGAAAAATAAAACAAAACCAAAAAAAAGTTCCCTCAGTGAATTTTTATGGGGGGAGGCAACTTGATAATGGCTCATATGCTGCCAACTGATCCATTCTAAGCTCTTCTCTCATTTCTTTCGCGCTCAAATGACTGAGAGCAGAGCTATTTTTCAAGGGCTGAAAAACATTTATTTGTATCCTTTTATTAGTTTTTATAACTCAAGGTGGTGAACAAATACCCCTTCCTTCTATTTTTTCTAGAACAATCCTGTGAGGTGAGTTGGGCTGAGAGAGAGTGATTGGCCTAAAGTCACCCAGCCCCTTTTCATGGCTAAGGTGGAACTAGAATTCACTGTCTCCTGGTGATTGGCCTAAAGTCACCCAGCTGGCTTTCAAGCCTAAGGTGAGACTAGAACTCATCAACTTCTGGTGATTGGCCCAAAGTCACCCAGCCGGCTTTCGTGCCTAAGGCAGGATTAGAACTCACCTTCTCCTAATTTTTAGCCTGGTGCCTTAACCACTAGACCAATTAGTACGTTCAGAAGTCATTCTCTGCTTGCGTTCCTACTTGATTTATATAATTTCCTTAGAGAAAATCCTTTGCCTTTAATTCCTCTTTCCTTTCCATTTAGGTTTTCTTTCACCTCTGCATTTTAATTTTTTTTAACTTTCCTACGTTCCTTCACACACCTTTTCTCTCTATTTTACCCACCCATCTTTTCCCTTCATCCTTTAGCTGCGTCTGATGATCATCTCTCAATTTAATAATGGAGGATAGGAATATGCTTTAAGGGCTCACTTTTAAACTGGATAAATTAGAAATAATACCACTTCCTTAATAAGGATGGCTCTTTCTGATCTCTAGGTTTTCTACCCTTGGTTCAATAATCAGTGTGATGCCTAAATCTGAGAGTGGCTTACAGAAATGCCAATCCCTTAAACTTTTCCCATATAAAGGGAATTGTGCAAATATAAAAAGAGCAGATTTACACTCAGCAAGATATTCAAAAAACAAAACAAAACAAACAAACAAAAAACCAGGTGAACTCCCCCTTGCAGGAAAGAGTAAAAATAAAGCATAATTTTGCATGGTGCCTGTTTATCTTTCATGGAGGGGATTGCAAATTAGAGTCATCCTTGGTTAAAAAAAATCTTAGATCAGCAATCCTGGGTTGTTTTAAAATCCATACATATTCCATACATTGAAAAATAATAATTCTAAAAGAGAAAGGTGTCTTCAAAAATTAAGGATGAAATGTGCTTATGTTCACCCAAACACAATAGATACCACTATAAAAAGACACTGCTTTCCTATGAGATTAAAAGGAAACATTTTGGCTCACATAGGTCTGGCTAGTTAGAGATTTCACTTTTCTGTTAAAAATACATTTTTAAAGGCTTGCAGTCCAATGAACTGAGTCTCCTTTTAAGCTGAACTCCTTAACATTTGACAGTTTTTAAGGTGGATTAATCTCCCTGACTCAGAGATAAAACAAGTCAGCACTTCCCAGGTCAAATCTAGCTGACAGAATTCACCTAAATCTGTGTCTGTAACTGGTCACAGAGTAGAAAGCACACGATTCCCTTTTCCTCCACTTCTTATCTGTCTCCTGGCAGTTTGACACAGTATCCTGATCATTGTTGATCCCGAGGCCCATCCATTTAGTGCAAAGACTAACGAATGTCTGAACTCCCTTAAGCATCTGATTTCTTTTAAAAAAATGGAATCAAAAACAATGATCATCTTATTGCTGTTTCAAATCTCTGGCAGTTTGACACCCCTGTCCTAGACAGTGGCATATGTTTCTCTATCTGGGCACAATGAGTAATTGTCTGCTATGAACTCTGTGTAGGTGTCAGGAAGGGCATCCGGCCAGTAAATGCTCAAGCTTCATTCAGTCGCCCTGACTCCACCCCAATGCAAGGGATTACAGGGTCATTAAAAGAAAAAAACCCTCTCCTCACTTAAAGAGCCTATTCCAGGGGTAGACAACCTTGGCTCTTTTATGACTTGTGAACTTCAACTCCCAGAATTCCTGGCCTATTCAGATTAGGTGAGAAATGAAACAACCCTGGAGGATATATGTATGGGGCCTTCCTAACCAACCTGCTCAGACTGAAGAAGCTACAGATAGTCTTCAACTTAACGACCACAACTGAGCCCAAAATTTCTGTTGCTAAGAAAGATAGTTAAGTGAGCTTTGCCCTCATTTTATAACCTTTCTTGCCACAGCTGTTAAGGGAATCACGGCCATGGTTAAGTTAGTGACACGGCTGTTAAATGAATCTGCCTTCCCCGTTGACTTTGCTTGTCAGAAGGCTGCAAAACGTGATCCTGTGACCCCGGGGTCATAGCAACTGTCATAAATATGAGTTGTCAAATGTCTGAATTTTGATCATGTGGCCATGGGGATGTTGCAACAGTTGTGTGAAAAATAGCAGTTCCTTTTTTCAGTGCCGCCGTGAGTTTGAACGGTCACTAAATGAACTAAGTCAAAGACTACCTGTGCTTGGATAAGCAGCGAATTGAACAAGAAGTCTAATTGCCGTGACTAAACTTGAAGGTATTTATGGAAATATGACTCAGTTTGTGTGGAATCCCTAAACTTGTTATTTTATCATGGATCAAACTGTTAATCACTGGTCAGGCCTCCATGGAGCGCTCCCAAAGAAAAGCCTCTTAAGCAATTCATCTTGCTAAACAATTACATTAACCCTGAGAAAAAGATTGATTAGAACCAGTTCCAGATGAAACACTTTCTTTCTTCCCCAATTCTGACAAACATATCAACTCATTTGATTTAGACTGCCCTTCAGCTCAATACAGTTATTTTCTATAATGATCATGATCATGACGATGACGATATTATTGAGGCTTTTAAAATCATCAGCATCATCAATTTACTAAACTTAGAGATGAGCACTTAACGGTTTGCTTTACACCTTAGTTAGACAGCAGGAGAACATTTTTCATTTCTCCCCCTTGTTTTTATTTCTTCAGGCCTTTTAAATCCTTTTAGCACCTCCAATGTACCACTGTTATTTTTAATGCTCCTTTAGATGCTTTTCTTATTCTTATTCTTATTCTGTGTTGCTGAATTATTTAGCTGCATATTATTTTACTCAGTTTTGTTAGTTGGCTTGAATATAACAAGTGAGGGAAGGCAGGATAGGAGAGAGATGAAATGACGTACAGGTAGTCCTCAACTTACAACTGTTTATTTTTTTAGTGACCGTTTGAGGTTACAACAATACTGAAAAATGTGACTAATGGCCAGTCCTCACACTTAGGACTGTTGCAGCATCCCCATGGTCACAGGATGAAAATTCAGGTGCTTAGCAACCAACATTTATGACAGCTGAAATGTTCCGGGATCGTGTGATCGCTATTTGCGACTGGCTTCCAATAAGCAAAGTCAATGGGGGAACCCAGATTTGCTTGACAACTGCATGATTCATTTAACAATTGCAGTGATTTGCTTAACAACCATGGAAGAAAGATCGTAAAATCAGGTGTGATTGATTCATTTAACAATCACATTGCTTAGCAAAGGAAATTCTGATCCCAACTGGAGTCCTATTTTGAGGACTGCCTGTATTCCACACTGAATAGAATTATATCCTACTTCACCTGTTAGTTGAGCAACGGAAAGCATAACTACTAAGCCTTGCGTTCTGGACTTAGCATAAATCTTTCTGGGAAAGCTTCCTGTCTCCTCAATTTAGGCTTAACACTAGTTTAAGATGGATGCATGCAATTTTTGAAGAACCTTTTAATGGCTTATAGAAGCCTTCTGATTGGAACTGGTGTAAACTGATTTGTTCCTATTACTGGAATTAGTGTAAACTGGCAGCTGTTTGAGTTGTTCTTACCATCACCAAACATTCACGGAAACATAGAAAAAATCCTGGCTACATGTTCGCTAGTCTAGCTTTGAACCAAGAGGAAAAATACAATACTGAATGAGGATTGGAAAACCTCCATGGTCTGCAGAAAAACGAAACCCTAAAAAGATTATAAAAGATTTACACACACCCACACACAGACTCTGGGAATAAGCCGCCCAGAGTCACTGAGAGTGTGTTGGGTGGCCATATAAATGTTCTTAAATAAAAAACAACAACAACCTATTTATGTGATTTGATGATTAGCAGCAAATACTAAATTGGTTGTATATGAGTCATACACTGCACACATAGGAGTTACTGAGTGTTGAAAGCATAATGAAAAAAAAAAAAAAACCAAAAGGAAACTTGAAGTGAGGAAACAGATCCCCAGGTAAAATGCAGACTCACTCTGCACTGTAATATTTTGCTTAGGGTGACACTTGTCCATGGAATGGAATGGAATGGAAGAGAATAGAATAGTTGGAAGGGACCTTGGAGGTCATCTAGTCCAACCCCCTGCTCTGGCAGGAAACCCTATACCATTTCAGACAAATGGCTGTCCAGTCTTTTCTTAAAAACTTCCAGTGTTGGAGCGTTCACATACCCAATTCCAGCAACCGTTCCTTTTAAGTTTTAGCCTCCAGTCCCCTGATCATCTTTGTTGCTCTTCTCTGTACTCTTTCTAGAGTCTTAACATCTTTTTAATATTATATTGTGGCGACCATATTGAGCCAACCGTGGACGTGGCTCTTTACAGACATAATGATGGGCAAATCCTGAGCTGTTACACTGTTCGCCAAACCTTCAATAGTTAAGGAAATTATGGGTTTAGAGCAGTGGTTCTCAACCTGTGGGTCGGGACCCCATTTGGGGTCGAACGACCATTTCACGGGGGTCGCCAAACAAGGCTGTCCGCCATTTTTCCCCCTTTGGCCACGCCCTTGGCACCCGGTGATGTATAAGTGGTTGGGGGTCACCACAACATGGGGAACTGTATTATGGGGTCACGGCATTAGAAAGGTTGAGAACCACTGGTTTAGAGTAAAGGTTGCTGACTTGTGGTCCATAGGCCTCTTCCTGAGACCAATAAGTCCCCAAACATGTGGCATAGATTCCAATTATTTTTTTTGAAAGAAAATAACCAAATTACCGGTGGTCCTCGACTTACAACCACAATTGAGACCAAAATTTCTGTTAAGTGAGCCATTTGTTAAGCGAGTTTTGCCCTATTTTACGACCTTTCTTGCCACTGCTGTTAAGGGAATCACTGCAGTTGTTAAGTTAGTCATACGGCTGTTAAATGAATCTTGTCAGAAGGTCACAAAAGGGGATCACATGACCTCCAAAAACTGTGGTGGCGAACCTATGGCACGCGTGCCAGAGGCGGCACTCAGAGCCCTCTCTGTGGGCACTTCTCTGAACTGCTGGTGGCAGGATGTGGAGCCCCAGAGTGTACCAGTCAATGGGCCGGCAGGCTGTGGTTGCTGACGGACATTGTCGGCCTCCATTCTCTTGCTGGCCTCTGTGTGCGGGGGCTGATGGTGTCAGGCAGCAGCTGCCCCGGCTCCTGCCTTGCCTTGCCCTGAGATAATGGCACCACCACCCTGCCTTGCCTCACCCCGCAGGATGAGCCTCCTGCACACCACCCCACCTGCCAGAGACCCCCTGGATCTCCCCTAACCCTTCCCGGCCCCCACAGGCATCCCTCCCCACAAGCAACATTGAGGTGACCACGCCCACCTTGGCCACATCTACCCAGTCTGCCATGACCACCACAGCCACGCCCACCCAGTGGGCTACGCCCACCTGGCATTCGGCAATAAATAAGTGGGTTTTGGGTTGTAGTTTGGGCACTCAGTCTCTAAAAGGTTCGCCATCATTGCTTTAAGATAAATGCAGCATTCGGGTATCTATAACTATTTGACCTGGAAATACATCTGCTCTAATGAAGCTGAGACTGGAGTAGAGAACAGACCTCGCATGACCTATTTTGTCCCAGGTCATCTGCAGTTGCACCTCTTTGTTGCATCATACAATCGATTCAACATTCACCGATGATCAGGCGTGAAAGATCAGGCCCACACCTGAAAGTCCAACCCCACTGATTTATTGCTAATCACGGCTATGCACAGAACTAATGGTTACTTGGGCTTAGCTAAGAGTCAGTGGAATTCAAGATGGGTTGGACTTATTTCCTTCATGGCTACATAGGGATTCTAGGCTGAACTCTCCTTTAACTCCGCCCCCAGGGGCTGCCATTCCTTCTTCTACACTGGTAATCATCTGAGTGTGCATTAATACAGGGGTCCCCAATCCCTGGGCCGTGGACCAGTACCGGGCAGCGGCATGCCAGCAACCGGTCCGCATAAACATGCAAAGCCCCATTCATGGGATGCAGGCATCACACAAAACCACATACTCTCCGATCCGTGGAAAAACCTCTCTCCATGGAACCGGTCCCTGGTGCCCAAAAGGTTGTGGACCTCTGCATTAGTACATAGCAAGTGACTAGTATGGTATGTAAATGGTGGACTGCAAGCAACCATAGATTAGTTTGCAAGGCAGTCTCTATACAGGTAGGTTCTCGACTTAGAATTCATTTAGTGACAGTTGGAAGTTACAGCACCACTGGAAAAAAGTGACTTAGGATTGTTTTTCACCCTTACAACTGTTGCAGCATCCCCATGGTCACGTGATCAAAATCTGGATGCTTGACAACTGACTCATACCTATGATGGGTTGCAGTGTCCTGGGATAATGTGACCCTCTTTTGCGACTTTCTGACGAGTGAGAAAGTGAATGGGGAAGCCAAATTCACTTAACTTTGTTACTAACTTAACAGCTGCAGTGATTCCCTTAACAACCATGGCAATAAAGGTCGTAAAATGGGGCAGGACTCACTTAACAACTGTCTCGCTTAGCATCAGGAATTCTGGGCTCAATTGTGGTTGTAAGTTGAGGACTACCTGTACTGACCCAAAACTGACTGCTACCATCCTTCTGATTAGCTGAGAATACTGCACATGGCATAAGAGCAACTGAAAACGGTAACCTGGTCCAGTGTTTCTCAATCTTAGCAACTTTAGGATGTGTGCCGTGCTGACTGGGGGATTCTGAGAATTCAAGTCCACGCATCCTAAAGTTGTTGAGGCTGAGAAATCCTGGCCTGGTCTATATCTTCTTGTCTTTACTAAAAAAGTGTTATGCAAAAACAAATAATAATATGAGAGTGTCAAATCCCTGTACCTGCTCCGCTGCTGTGCTGCTAACATTTTGTTGGATCCAGGCACTTCCCCTTGAAAATCGGTAAAAGTATCATCCAGTCCCCCTGACTTGGAGGCATCTTGGAATTCTTGGAAGTCATCATCATCTGTTTTTGGGACCTAGATTTGGAGGCGACAGAAGAGTTGTTTTTTTTTAAGGAAAACAACCTTATTCCTTCTCCTATCCTTACCATTTTCTATAGAGGCACAATCGACAGCGTCGTATCCTATTGCATTACTGTCTGGTTTGGAAGCATCACTGCTTCAGACAACAAGGAGGTGCAGAGAGTGGTGAAGAGGGCAGAAAAGATTATTGGCAGTTCCCTCCCTTCCATCCAGGACATGACATATAAGAAATGCTTGAGCAGGATCTGCAGGATTGTCCGGGATGCTACACATCCTCTTCACGACCTGTTTTCCTTGTTCCCTTCTGGGAGGAGGGGGCTCCGTAGTATCCAAAGCAGAACATCCAGATTCAGTCACAGTTTCGTTCTATATCAATATCAACTTTGTGAACACTCAAGCTTCTTCTTTTCGCTATGTATTCAAGACGGACAGTGATTAATATGTATATGTATTTATATGTAAGGGTATAGGTATATACATATGTTATATATAGCATGTTTATATGTGTTATGTATGTGTACACACTTTTGAGACCAAGCAACAGAATTTCATTTTTATGTGTGCCAATTTGCCCACAATAAAAAACTGACATCCATCCATCCATCCATCTATCCAAATGAATTATCTATCTATCTATCTATCCAAATGAATTATCTATCTATCTATCTATCTATCTATCTATCTATCTATCTATCTATCTATCTATCTATCTATCTATCTATCTATCTATCTATCCATCCATCCATCCATCCATCCATCCATCCATCCATCCATCTATCTATCTATCTATCTTATTCTTTTATTTACACATTCTGTAGTAATGGCTATTTTATTGGCCATGATTTGTGCTACCTTGCTTCAGTATAAATATACAGGTAGTCCTCGAATTACAACCATTCGTTTAGTGACCGTTCAAAGTTAAAACAGTGCTGAAAAAAATGACTTATGATCATTTTTCACACTTATGACCATTGCAGCATCCCCAGGGTCATGTAATCAAAATTTGGGCACTTGGCAACCAACATGCATTTACGATAGTTGCAGCATTCTGGGGTCATGTGATCACCATGTATAACTTTCCCAGCCGGCTTCCAACAAGCAAAGTCAATTGGGGAAGCTGGATTCACTTAATGACTGTGTGATTCACTTAACAACTGCAACGTTTCACTTAACAGCTGCGTCAAAAAAGGGACAAAGCTTACTTAACTGCTCTGCTTAGCAACTGAAATTTTGGGCTCAATTGTAGTCTTAAGTCGAGGACTATCTGTACAATAAAACAATATGATGTGTGAATATTAAGTGTGAAATAATGAAACCTCTGCAAGAAAACAGCTAAACTCAGAGAGCAAGAAGGATCCTACAATCCAACCCTGAGCTACAAATTTTCTTTTCTATTGGTACAAGATGAAGTACCCAGAATTCTGCAGTGAATGATTAAAAAGTTTAAAATCAAAACCTATATATCTTGATTGGTAAAAGGTCGTTTCCTGATAATGAAAAATAAATGACACAGAGCAAAGTTGAAAATCCCATCTCTGGTTGTTTCCTGCTTCAGTTGTGATGAGGATTCTAGCGCAGGGTAAGCAACCGTGACTCTTTTATGACTCGTGGACTTCAACTCCCAGAATTCCTGAGCCAGCCATGCTGAGAGGAAAGGGAGAGGTTTCCATGCTGAGCCATGCTGGCTCAGGAATTCTGGGAGTTGAAGTCCACAAGTCATAAAAGAGCCAAGGTTGCCTATCCCTGCTCTAGAGTCAAGCTCAACAACTACACAGGTTTATGTGATCCAGTTTTCCTTGGAGTTTCAATTTGTTCTGTAGGAGCAGAAGATCTGAAAAAAGGATCTCAGAGGTTGCTGGATATTAACTTCTATCATCCCTGACCTTTGGCCATGGTGTCTTGAGGCTGATGGGCACTGGAGTCCTAACATGGGGAGGATCATGACCTCAGCTCTCATTTAGGCTCTTATAGACCAAAATAACATTGAATTGAGTAACTTTTTCCAATTGACAAGAGATGCATTTCATTTCTCCCAAATAAAATTTGAAAGCTCTGTTGTTTATACATACCTAAAAATATATATATATATATTCATTTTTAGTTCATGAATCTATATGACTGATAAACTCCTCCACTGTCATATTCTGCATGAGTCTGTCTCTCCTTTTCTTTTAATCAGTTGCTCCAAAGTAATTGGTTCTAGACCGGGGTGGGTAAGTATAGCAACTTTACAACCTATGGACTTCAATTCCCAGAATAATAAAATAATAAAATAATAAATAATAAAAATAATAAAAAAACATAATAATAAATAACCGCATCTGAATTGGTATCATAAGCATAGCTGGTTCAGGAATTCTAGGAGTTGAAGTCCACAGTCATAAAGTTGCCATACAGTATAATAGATTTGGAAGGGACCTTGGAGGTCTTCTAGTCCAACCCCCTACTCAAGCAGGAAACCCTATACCATTTCAGACAAATGGTCATCCAATCTCTTCTTAAAAACTTCCAGTGTTAGAGCATTCACAACTTCTGGAGGCAAGTCGTTCCACTGATTAATTGTTCTCACAGCCAGGAAATTTTTCCTCAGTTCTAGGTTGCTTCTCTCCTTGATTAGTTTCCATCTATTGCTTCCTGTCCTTCCTTCAGGTGCTTTGACCACCCCTGGTCTAGGTAATAGGTTCAGACAGATGTTTGAATTACATGGCTGAAAGTAAAAAGCTAAAAGAACAAGCTGCTTTAAACCACGAGTAAGGATACCTTACGACAGGGAATACTGTATGTCAGCACTAACCTGGTTTGTAGGGAAAGGTTGGATGAAACTGCTGGAAGCCTGTGTGGTGGCTGCACCCACTGGTGCCGCCATGTTGATCCCCACCAATGTTGGTCCTATATTAAGAGGCATGGAAACCGGTGGTCCAGGAGGCATCAAAGGCTGTTGGCTCACTGTGACAGGGATGGCCATCTGAAGTCCACTTAAGGTAGGGATGGGAGCAGAAGGAAACTGGTTTAAACCTTCAGGGCTCATGGCTGGAACTCCTCTCTGTATGGGGGGGGGGAACACCAGAAAACAGAGTGTTCACACAACCAAGTCAGTTAAAGCATTTGTACACCATGTAAAACTTAACTGGAGCTAACCTTAGTTTTTGGTTGAATGTGTTGTATAAAGCAGCTTGGCTAGTTTATTTCAGCATGTTGTGAAACCCAGAAAATGAATTTCAAGTAGTCCTCGACTTACGACTGGTTGTTTGGCCACTGTTCAAAGTTATGGTGGAACCTTAGAACTCAGACGTCACCCCCCCGGTCACGTGACCACATTTTGCCTGCTCAGCAACTATCCTGCATTTATGCCTATTTGCTGTGGATCACAGGACCACAATTTACATTTCTGCTAGAAATCGGTGTGTACTTTCGGGTTCTGGCAAAACCTGCTCCGTAGCGAACAATAGCTTAACAACTGTAGTTGTTGTTTAACAACCAAGGCGTTTGCTTAGCAGCTGCTGCAAAAACAGTCGTAAAATTGGGTCAGGTCACATGATATTCCGCTTTAACAACCAGCACGATTTCTGATCATAATTGCCAGGCACAATTACGATTGTAAGTCAAGGACCGCCTGTAATGCAGTAAAAACTATTTACTTATTTATTATATTTTTATGCCACCCATCTCCCCTATAAAGTGACTCCGCAAGGGCTTATGAGTTATAAAATAAGTAAAAAATAATAATAATTCAAGTCAGGGGTCTTCAATCTTGGCTACTTTAAGACTTCTGGACTTCAACTCCCAGAATTCCTCAGCTAGCCTTCAGGGCTGGCTGAGGAATTCTGGGAGTTGGTCCACAAGTCTTAAAGTGGCCAAGTTTGAAGATCCCTGGATTGTAATGATAAAACTACAGTATACCAAAAGCAGGATCAAAAGATGGATGGGATGGGGGATGAGGTCTTCTTACCAAGTCAGCCAACTCCAATGGTGAGCACCCCCATTGAGGCTCCAAGCCAGCCAGCAAAATCAAGTTTTGACACCCTACTGAAAGGCTTAAAGCAGAGGTCCCCAACCTTTTGGGCACCAGGGACCAGTTCCATGGAGAAAGGCTTTTCCGTGAATCGAAGAGTGCGTGGTTTTGTGTGCTGCCTGCATCCCATGGATGGGGCTTTGCTTCTTTGTGCGGACCAGTTGCTAGTAGGCTGTGGCCCGCTACTGGTCCATGAACCGGGGGTCGGGGACCCCTGGCTTAAAGGGTGGGAGCAGTTTTCACATCCAGTGGTCAAGTGGAGGCTCTTGTTCCTTTTTTTTGCCCACCAGATCGTTTTTGCCCACTAGTGGGTTTCACTCACAAAACGATTAAGTCCACTTACCTCCCATGCCTTGTGCTTCCTTCTCCCCCCACCCCGGAAAAACGGCTTACAGTTATACTGATGGTTGACTGTTACCTCTGCAAATTTATGTACCCGTGCTCTAATTTTACGATATTGCACCCCGATTTCATAAACAAAAAAATTTCCGATAAGAGACTTTAAACACAAGTGGTGAATAAGAGCCTTGTGGGAGGATGCCGTTGATTTTTCTCTCCCTAGAATGCTATTTTTGCTATGTAACTGTAGTCATCCTGGTTATTTTTATTATTTGTATGTTGCTGTTTTCACTTTTGGATGCTATTTTAAAAATGACAGACTTAGATGGCATCCATAGCTGTGTAGATGGCGTAGTGGTTAGAATGCAGTACTGCAGGCTACTTCTGCTGACTCCCGGCTGCCAGCAGTCTGGCAGTTCAAGTCTCACCCGTTCAAGGTTGACTCAGCCTTCCGTCCTTCCAAGGTCCGTAAAATGAGGATTCAGGATTGTTGGGGGCCATAGGCTGACCCTGTAAACCGCTCAGAGAGGGCTGTAAAGCACTGTGAAGCGGTATAGAAGTCTGAGTACTATTGCTATCTGTATATATCAGGGGTAGGCAACCTTGGCTCTTTTATGACTCGTGGACTTCAACTCCCAGAATTCCGGAGCCGGCAGGGCTCCGTGGCGTCAGAGGAGGCATGCTGTGGGTCCCATCAACCCTGTTGCTCCTAACCCTCTGGAACATCTTGCCCCCTCCCTGATGTGAGACTGACCACAACTTTCCTATCCTTTCATAGGGGCCTAAAAACCTGGCTTCTGCCTCCTCGGCTGGCATGAGTGTGACAGGCCGATCCCAATGGGGTGAGATGGTCCCTCAAGTAACCTGGACCCATGCCACGAAGGGTTATGCCACGTGCCCCAATGGGGGAACAGCACAGTGGAGGTGGCGGGTAACAACAGATGAAATCCAAAGTAGTTCTTTTTTTGCTGAAACAAGTTGGACAGGCTAGTCCAGGGGTAGGTAACCTCGGCTCTTTTATGACTCGTGGACTTCAACTCCCAGAATTCCTGAGCCAGCCATGCTGAGGGGAAAGGGAGAGTTTCCAAGCTGAGCCATGCTGGCTCAGGAATTCTGGGAGTTGAAGTCCACAAGTCATAAAAGAGCCGAGGTTCCCCACCCCTGGCCTAGACAGACAAGTCATAAGGAGTCATAAGGAGTCCGTTTTATCTTTGATTCTGATTCCTACCTGAGTTAGCGCAATCATAGCCAAAACAGTGTAGAGTTCCTCTTTTGTCAGCTTCCCTGGAGTGGTACGATTGGCTAAGGCCCAAATTTGTCCAAGAGTTTCTCTGGGAAGCCCAGAGGACATCAGAATTGGATAGAGTTTGCCGGTATCTATCCCGGATGGTGTCATGGTGGTTTCGAGAATCTTCTTATAAAGATCTGTGAAGGAAGGAATTGGTTCCAAGAGATTAAATACTGAAAAATTCAAGCAAAATTCAAAAGACCATGCCTGTTCTGCCCACAAACATTAACCAGAATTTATTTATTTAATTGATATCCCACCTTTATTATTTTAATAAACAACTCAAGGCGAAGAGTTATGTCTAGTGCTCCTTCTTCCTTTTATTTTCCCCATGACAACCCTGTGAGGTGAGTTGGGCCGAGAAAGACTGAAAAAGTCACTCCGCTGGCTTTCACTGCTAAGCCAGGGCTTAAGATTATGCCTTAACCCATACATCAGCAGCCCCTCAATCTTTTGGGCACCAGGGACTAGTTCTGTGGAGAGAAGTTTTTCCATGGACTGGAGGGGAGAGTGGTTTCGTGTGCTGCCTGCATCCCATGGATGGGGCTTTGCTTGTTTGCACGCCCTGGTTTCTGGCATGCCGTGGACCAGTGCCGGTCCACAGTCTGGGGGTTGGGGACCTCTGCCCTAGACCAAACTGGCAAAGATTAGGAATTCAGTCATCAAAACTGAACTGCTCCAAAGAGGTCACGTTCCTTAAATGAGGATGGCTTTTGCCTTTTACTAAATTTCACTAACTGCTTCTGAAAGGATAACTGCCATTTTGTGTGTGTGTGTGTGTGAGAGAGAGAGAGAGAGAGAGAGGGAGAGAGAGAGAGAGAGAGAGAGAGAGAGAGAGAGAGAGAGAGAGAGAGAGAGAGAGAGAGAGAGAGAGAGAGAGCATAAATGTACATGCACCTTTAAGTCAGCTTTGACTCCTAGTAACTGCCTGGATAAGACCCTACAATTTTCTTGGCAAGGTTTTTCAGTAGTTTGCCACTGTCTTCTTCCTAGGGCTGAGAGAAAGTGACTGGCCTAAGGCCACCCAGCTGGCTTTGAGCCTAAGACAGGACTAGAACTCACAGTTTCCTGGTTTGTACCCTGGTGCCTTAACCACTTTGGCTTTTTTTTTTTTTAATCCTTCTAAATAACAACCTAGACAACAGGATCCAAATTAAAAGTCAACATTGCCTGATCAAAATTTAACACGGTACTCTGTCAATCCTGTAAAGCACAAGAAGAAAATGAGCCAATAATAACACGGAAATGAAATTATATACAATATTCATCATCGTCATTTTATTAATTATTACCTGGAACTAAATTATCATTGTAAATCCATGGAGGCATTATTTGCTGAATTGGATCTTGTGAAGGAAAAACTCCAACACCTAAGGACACACATACACACACACAAAAAGACAGATATTTAGAAAATAGCTAAAACAAATGACTCATTTGGGACACTTCTATCAGAGTAGTTTAATCAGCTCTCCAAAAATAGTTAAAGAAATAAAAAGTGATTGGTTCAAGAAAAACAAGCAAGTGTTTTTGCATTCAAATCAGAACTCTGGAGCAAGGGGCAACAGCTGTAACTTTGTGCAAAATACTCTTGGGGAGATGAACAGCCACATCAAAAAACAAGCACAAAAATCCATTTAGAAGTTTAAGTGCTTCCAGATACCTAAAATAAATAGAAATATCACTGCTGATGCTTTTGTAAATGTGTTTAAATAGGATTAGAAACTGACCAAAGAAAACAGGAGACCACCAAATGGCACAAACTTTGCAGGTGTTAATACTGACGTACGGTATAGATGTGGGTGAAAAGGTCATCAAAATGGAAGTACAATGAATAGCTTGCAAAACTGTGGTACGCCATCCACTCTTGTAAGATGGGCCATCGTATAAATATGAAAAATAAAAATAAAAGATGCAATTGGGTGATCGTTCAGCAAGTGGTTAAGCCTGCTGCTCAACTGCTGCTAATGCTAACCAGCAGCATCAAGGTCCTGTCTATTCTTGGGTTTTTCTTTTTAATCTTAAAACTGAGCAGTCCTTTAAACAGAAGAAGTTGGCAACTTTAGATTATTGGAAGGAAGGAAGGAAGGAAGGAAGGAGGGAGGGAGGGAGGGAGGGAGGGAGGGAGGGAGGGAGGAAGGAAGGAAGGAAGTTTTTATGCACCATTGGAGAGCCTAATCCCAGTTAGTAGCACTAGGTGACCTTTCCAACTTGGGTGTCTTGTCACTTCTATGCATAAATTATGTACTACAAGATGAAATCTTCACTTTTCTCAACTATAACACCTACTTCCTTCAAGCCTGCATCACTGTTAGGCCATCTCCACCCAACTGGCACCCACAACAAGTTAGAGGATTGGAATTCTGGGAGTCATAGTCCTATCACGTCTGTAAAGTGGCAAGTTGGAGAAGGTTCCTTAGAGCAAATGAGGGCCAATTCTCCTTGGGCAAGTGAATGACAGCAAAGAGGAGGAGGAGGAAGAGAAGAATGTTTTGCTTGGAAAAGAGAACAGGCTCAAAACTCATGCAAAAAGTGGTTAAGAACCAATACTGTATTATGTGGTAAGTCAGGATAAAAAGATGCTTCATGGTTATTATTCAAGCAGGGATTCAGAGCAAAATTACCCAGCATTCACCTTAAGAGGTTAGAACAGTGAAGCAGCATCCATCGGGCTGAAAACAACAGATTTGCTCACCGCGCTCTTGAACTGGCAGCTTTTGGTCTGAAGCCTTGTTTGCCTCTGGACAGGGGGTTCCCTTGGGAAGTGCCCCTAGGGACTTCCTGCCACTGGCTGCTAGCTGGGGACCAGGGCTGTTTACAGCTGAAGCGGCAGCACTGAGCTCAACCTCAGGCGCCTTATGTTTGATTTGCCCAAATTCACTCAACCTGCAAGTTGCCAAGGGCTTGTCTTCTAAGAAACAGCCTGGGTGAATAAAAGGAGGAATTAGACACACTTGCTAAATTGCACTTCAGTTCAGAGCTGTATCCCGTTCTTTAATCCCACAGGCAAAAGGGGGAAAACACAAATGCACCCACAGCCCTAGAAATACAGTCGTGGCCAAAATTGTGGAAACCGTTTGGGAAAAGTATATTTTTGAGGTTTGATGGCTAATAACATCACTTTTTTTGGGAGTAGTGCCATAAAATTATATATCAATGGAAAGATAATTTAATCAAGAATGTAATGCAACAAAATTTGTTCAATTATCTGCACTGTATTCTATGAAAGTTTATAGCCAAATAACCAGAAAAAGGAAGCACAACTTGCTTAGGTTGATATCAAGTAGCTTTCCTTCATCTGATTGTAGCCAATGAGCGTGAGTGTTTAGAGAGCCAATTGGGTTCATCTTGTTTTGGCAGTGAGCCAATCAGATCACAGTAGGATTCGGTTATTGATGTCATGTATTGAAGCTGAGAGGAGGACATTTGTCAGTGTGTTATGTGATCGCTATCAAGTTGGTTGGGTTTTTTTGTGTTCTTTCATTGAGTGAGCTTGTAAAACATAATAAAATTAAAGTAATGGTGCAAAGAGTTGACTGGTTGCCCAGAAAGCGATGTAAAATAGTATTATTAAGTGAACAAGGCTACAGTTATAAAGAAATTAGAAGAAAAATTGGTGGAAACTTAACCAAAGGTGGCATTTCTACTGTACACTTTTCCCAAAAGGTTTCCACAATTTTGGCCACTATAAGGACGGGTGTGTGACTCAGTAACAATTTTCAAAGAGGACAACTGTTACTGGGTCACACCAGTCCTTATTTGTAGGGCTTCTTTCAGATTCTGCATTGCAACAGATTCTGCCAATACAGAGAGTGTCCTTGACTTAGGACCCTAATGGAGCTTGCCCATCCTGAACATAAGTCACGAGGGTCATAGAGTGAAACCACTTTTATGCTGCAAAAGTTGACGGAGTTAGCAGAGATGGCGAAATCAACTGCTTTGATTAAAGAAAAAAAACCCCACAGTTGCTTTTGTTTCTACTTGGAAACCACTTCTGGACTTTTTGTGTTTTGAGGTGGAAAAAAATGAAATCTTGATTTTGGGTTTTACCGGTTAACCAGGGGTAGGCAACCTTTGCTCTTTTATGACTCGTGGACTTCAATTCCCAGAATTCCTGAGCCAGCATGGCTCAGCTTGGAAACTCTCCCTTTCCCCTCAGTGGGTGGCTCAGGAATTCTGGGAGTTGAAGTCCACAAGTCATAAAAGAGCCAAGGTTGCCTACCCCTGGGTTAGACAGATTTGTTGTGATAGAAGTGGCTAATTTATACTGCTATGTAAAAGTAAAAAGTTGAGGTTTGATGCTATTATCTTATTCTACTGCACCAAAGAGAGTCGGAAGTCAATGGTTTTTCTTTCTTTCTTTTTCCTCTTTGATCTACTCTTTCCCCTTCTTTTCTCCCTCCCTTATTTTCCTACTGTTTTCTTTTGCATTTTTGTATTTTATATTATAAACTAATAATTTTTTTTTAAATAAAGTAAACAAAACCAATTTTACGACCTTTTTTGCAGCGGTCGTTAAGTGAACCGCTGTGAGCTGGTCCCGCGAAAAACTGGAGGTAAATGCCCGTTTTCAGCAAAAATGTCATAAACAGGACGCTGCAAATGTAAATGTAAATGCCAATGCAGGCTGGTTGCCAAGTGTCCAACATGCAGTCAAGCTGGAATTCTGGAACTGGGTCATAAGCATCCCTAGGAACGTCTGTTGTAACTTTTAATGATCTCTAAGTGACTAGTTTTAAGTACGACTTGTACTAAGCATACCCAGAATTCAACAGGACAAGAAAAGGGACAAGTGATGCGTTACCCTTTAAAAAAAATATTAAGATAATTTCTTACATTCTGAAAGTAAAGGACTGTATCTGAGACTAATCCAATGCCTCCAGTATGCAAATTTGGCCTGATTTTTTTTAAACCTACCAGAAAGCTTTAAATTGTAAATTGTTAAATTGTAAATGTAAATTAAATTTAAATCTACTAGAACAATTTAAATTATAAGAAGGCCTGGGGGCTCCCAGGGAAGTGGAGATACGTGGCTCCATTGAGGTGGATATAATCATTCTCTCTTTGTCTGGGGTTTATATATTTTTGTTTCTAATAATATTTAATTTTTAACATTGGTTTCTATACTTTTATGATTGGTTTATTTAGTTGTCATTTTATCTGGGGGTTGTCTGCTGGCCAGAGTGGCTTTTCATGAGATGGTCAGTCACGCAAATTTGATAAATAAAATAATAAAATGTATTTTATTTTATTTATAAAATTCACTGACTGCTCATCTTACCACAGGATAAAATAATAAAATAAAATAAAATAAAAATTCTGCTTTTCTGATCTGAAAATGCTAAGGTTTCTTTCTTTATGTACTATATGGTCAGAAATCTGTTTGTCAAATGCCTTGATATATATGTCAAGGTGATATAAATGCCTTGATATATATATTTATATACATCACTTGGCTATAGTGGCTGTTCTTTCTGCAAAATTTTGGTGCTGATTTATTTGTTGGGGGTACTATTTCTCTCCTAGAATTCAGGATTAGAGAGAGCGAGAAAATATATTTATTGCTTCTGCATTAAGGGCTACACCAAGAGACACCTCCATATGCATGTAGTCTTTGACTTACGACCACAAACTGGGACAAGAATTTCCATTACTAAGCAAGGGGGTTAAGTGAGTTGTATCTGATTTCATCACCTTTTTTGCTTGTTGATTGTTAAGTGAATCAATCAAACCCAGCCTGCCCCCATTGACTTTGCTTGTGGCAAACAGGCTGGAAGTTTGCAAATGGGGATCACATGACCCAGGAACATTGCAACTGTCATAAATACAAACCAGTTGCCAAGCATCCAAATTTTGATCACGTGACCAAGGAAAGGCTGCAAACATTGTGCGAAAATGTTACTTTTTTTCCCCATCGGTATTAACTTCAAATAGTCACTAAACGAACGGTTGCTAAGTCGAGGATCACCTGTATATTTTATTCCACGAAAGACCACAGTGTGTTACCTGTTTTCTGAGTGTTTTGTGAAGCTGGAGAAGGAGAGAAATAGGGTACTGGTCCCACAGCACCCTGGAGGACGGAGGTTACAGGAAACTGGGCTGGAGGGAGAGGGTGGGCCACAGCCTTCTCTGAAAGCCGCTGCCCGGCTTGAGAAGCAGGACGACAAGACTGAAAAGGCTGGGAAGAGGTTGGAGGCACAAATGGTGGGGCTTCGACAGGTCCCTGAATAAAGTCACTAAACTCCTCATCGTCAAGAAAGGCGATAGTTTGGGAGACAGACACGGTAGAATGAGATGGTTTGGGATGATCTGTGAAATGGAATGAACACAGACATGTACATACATACGAGATGGAAACCCCTGGAAGAAAACGAGCCTAAATATATAGATTTCTTTCTCCCATATTTGGGCCGACAGGGTGTATCAAGAAACACTCAAGGTAAAATCTCCTCCCCCTGTCTCTTCCCTCCCTGATATAGCTGACAAAGTGAGAAAGAGCCTGTGGCCTAGAGGTTAATATAGCTGCCTAACATGCATATAGCCCACGTTCGAATCTCAGAAGGGTAAGTCTGGCTGAAGAGAGTTAAGAAACTCGAAATAGCTATTCCAGTTCTCCCTTTATTCTTTGTTACATACATACATACATACATACATACATACATATATTTCTAAAATATTGGATTGCTAGCAAAGAATTAAGGGAGAACTGGAATAGCTATGAGGGAATGGGACACTCGGGCAATGCAAAGTCCCACAATTTTATGGTATTCCTTGCTTGCCCTGCCAAAGAGATAAGTGGCTTCTGAACTTCACGTTGTAAAGGAGAAAAAAATTCTGTTTTTTTCCGCAAGAGGTGAAAGGGAGAAAGAGCTGCTTCCTCTCCCATTCCTGCTTTTTATAAGAATTAAAATCACTTGATTCAAATGGCTCTAATTAAAATGCTGAGGAGGGCACAGAGAACTTTTATCACTTAGATGGCACATTCACAACTGAGTTCCCTACTAGAGAGAAAAGTGGGATCAACTCTTTTAGAAAGCGGATAATTTACCCAGAAGGATCCCAGCTAAATTGGCTATCGCTGATGCACAGACGATAAAAATCTTTATTTTTCCCATGCCTGCTTTATTTTTATATGCATTTTATTTTCTTGAGGACATTAGCAGCGTGGTGGCCTGGTGGTGAAGATGCTCGTCTCCCACTAAGGAGAGTTCAATCATTAAGTAGTGGAAAATGTTTCTCTCTCAAGGTGCAAAGAGAAAATATCTGTTGCAAACTCTAAGTAGGCGTCAGGAAGGGCATCCGGCTGGTAAACTCTCAGCTCCACCTAGTCGCCCTGACCACACCCCAAATCAAGGGACTACACAGGGTCGTAAAAAGAAAAAAAAAATTCTTGAGGACATTAGTTTTTAATGGCCACAACCAGTAATTCGATGCTCTTAAAAGATAAGAATCTGCCACTACAATTTATACGATGCAGCTTAAGGTTTTTGAAAAGGCTGCTAGGCTTCAAAGTGCACAGATACTCAATCAACTAAACATAATTTGGCTATCATTTAATAGGGGTGGGATCATAATTCAATTAAAATTAAGTACATTAAAGTCCTGCCGCTCATGATTCAAAAGGGTGTTAGATCCCCCCCCCTGAATGCTTCTTTTTGGCAGTTTTCTCCAAAAATTTCTGTGTATCCTAAAGCTGCATGCATTTTTTTTTTTTTTATTTCAAGATCTTGTCTCCAAGTTGAATACCTGCATTTTTGGGATGAGCAGTTGGTGTGGGATGGAGTTTAGCATCTCTGGAAAATCCATCGAGGTTCCCTTTAATAGCTTCCAGGGCATCATCTCTGCTTTTTTCACCCATCTGAAAACAAATTGACATTAGGATTATGATTGTTATTACTGTTATGAAAGAACTCTTAACAGAATTTTCAGCTATTTTAGAAAGCCTGATGCATTTATCACTTGGCAAAAACAAAGCACACTATTTCCACATGGTGGAATTCCTCAGGGAAAATTAGATGAGCAAAAGAGAATAGAATTCTTTATTGGCCAAGTGTGGTTGGACACACAAGGAATTGGTTTCCGGTGCATAAAACACCCCTTTTATCTCAAATCAACTTATCATTTTATATCTTGATAAAATAGATAGTCCCAAACTTATGACCAGAATTGGGATCAGAATTTTCACTGTGGTCAAGTCAGTCACTCCCAATTTTACAAGATTCCGCCCCCCCCAATTAAGCTAATCACTGCAATTGTTAAGTGAATCGTGTGGACGTTGACTTTGCTCTTTGAAAACCAGCTGGGAAAGTTGCAAAGGGAGATCGCACGATCCCCCAGATGCTGCAACCATTTTAAATACATGCTGGTTGCCAAGGGCCTGAATTCTAATCACAAGACCATGGAGAATGCTGTGATGGTCATAAGTGCAAGGTCTAGTCCAGGGGTAGGCAACCTTGACTCTTTTATGACTTGTGGACTTCAACTCCCAGAATTCCTGAGCCAGCCACGCTGAGGGGAAAGGGAGAGGTTTCCATGCTGAGCCATGCCGGCTCAGGAATTCTGGGAGTTGAAGTCCACGAGTCATAAAAGAGCCAAGGTTGCCTACCCCTGGCCTAGTCGTAGATCAGTTTTTCCCCAGTGCTGTTGCAACTTCAAATGGTTGCTAAATGAATGGCGTTAAGTCGAGGACTACCCCATACTGTTTTGTTGAAACACCGGTATTAGTTTTTTAAAAAAATTCTATTTATTGTTTGAATCTCCCTCCTAACAGAAATTAATTTAAATCCAGCTGGCTTGCCACTGAATAAATTTGCCACCGCATACCTTTGGCTTCACGCTGCTTAAAAGCCGTAGCTTTTGCTTCTGCTCTTCAAACTGACGCCTTTTTCTTTCTTCCTCCAAAACCTTCTGCTGGTGTTCAAACCGTTTCCTGCAAGATATAATCAATGCTGATTACTGTGTTTCCCCGAAAATAAAACCCGGTCTTACGTATATTTTTTTGCCTCCAAAAGAGGGACCGGGTCTTATTTTTAGGGGATGTCTTACCCGCTTACCTTAGGACCGCCCCAGCCAGGCTTCCCACGCCCCGACAACTATTGCGCCGCTGCCTGAATTCTTCTGCAGTCGCTTGCAGCTGCACGCCACATGCCGCATTGTGCTGCTGCCGCCACTCACAACAGCTGGGAAAGTGGCTCCTCACACCGCTTGCAGGATGTGGCTCATCGTGCCAGTGCTGCTTGCAACAGGACACCACGTGGCTCGTCGCACCAGGGCCGCGAGTGGCGGCAGTGATGCGACGAGCCATGCGGCCTCCTGCGATGCACCATGTGGCGTGTGGCTGCAGAACTCGGGCAGCGACGCGACAGGTGTCAGGGTGTGGGAGGTCTGGCTGTGGCAGTCCTAAGGTAAGCAGGTATGGGGTGCATGGGTATTGCGGCCTGTCGCCCGCTGGAGGACTCCGCAACAGAGGAGGAAGCATAGGAGTGGGCGTCGGGCCCAGCGTCAGGGCCATCTGAAAGCTCCAATGGGGGCGAAGGAATGGAGCTGTTGCAGCCAGGGATAGAGGCAGAGCCTGGGCCATCCGCCAGCCCCCAGATGGAAAGGCTGAGACCTCCATGCCTTGAGGCAAGTGAGTCAGGAGAGGAGGATCAGAGGGGCCAGTGACTGATGTGCGGGCGTGGTAGAGGCTGAGGAGAGAAGAACAGCAAGAGGCTATGAGTCGGTCTTCAGGGTGGAAGAATCACAGCTGCTAACAGCTGTGGATAAAAGGCAGGGGTGGAGACGAATAGGTGTAGTAGCAACTATTTGTCTCTGTCATGCCTCTCTCAGAGCCTGAATCTGAGGAGGACATGGAGCTGGAGCAGGACCCTGTTGAGGCCCAGGAAGAGGTGTCTGTGGCTTCAGAGGACTGTGGGGAAGAGCAGGCTGAGGCAGGCCAGGGCCCTTCAGGTTTGGAACAGGGGAGGCAGAGTTCAGGCGAGGAGCAAGCCCCCCCCCCACCTGATCCTAAAGCAAGGAGAGCAGAGAGGAGGAGAGAACAATGTAGGCAGGCTCAATTGCTCAGGAGGAGAGCGGCCCGCCTCACTCCACAAGGCACACCTGGGGATTAAGATTTAAGGAGACGCTGTGGGATGGGGCATTTGCCGGGAACAAACGTGGTATCTTGGGACAGTTGTGAATTGTGCTCTTGTCTTTGTTTAACCTGGACACCTTGAGTACTGGGCAGACTGCATTTCTGAGTCTCTCCTTGCAGACTACAGGCAAGCTGAGATTTAAAAGGACTCATTAAGTTTCTGTTTTGTTTTCTTGTTATCGGTCTGATCTTGAGGACATTGTATACTTCTCGGCTGTATTGAAATTGCCTTCAGCCAGAGGCAGCTGAAAGGAACGTGTGTGTGTGTGTGTGTGTGTGTGTGTGTGTGTGTGTGTGCGCGCGCATGCGCGCTTTGGCTGAAGGCTTGCCAGCATATGTGGGAGCTTTTGGGGAACATTGGCAGTTATTAAAGGACTGTTTCTCTTGCCAGCCGACTGCTTTGCCTCACTGCGGGGCCCTGGGTCATCACATCTCCCTGCTGGTCAGCCATTTCTATCTGGAACTCCTGACTCTGATTTGTAAACTTGCCGGAGTTTTCCTTGGATCCTGTGGCACTGGGAGTCGGAGCGCCTTCTGAGCATACGCGTGTTGGAAAAGAGCTAGCTTGCCTGAAGGACTCTTGCTGCAAGCATGGTGAGAGACTGAGATTAACTCTGGGTTTTGGGAGACCCCTGCAGGGGAAAAGGGAGCGAGCTCCGCTGTTTGGAGGCAACAAAAGACTTAACAGTCGGCTGGGTGAAGCTGCTGGCATTCCTGAATAAAAGGAATGTTGGAAATTTATTGGTGCGTCTGTTGTGTTCGGGGAGTTGGGGCAGAACGGTGGGGCAGCTTCACACACCCCCTAGCACTAGCTTGATTTTTATGCATGTGCCTGACCCCAAAACTAGGGCTTATTTGGGGGATAGGGCTTATATTAGGTGCACGTGTAAATTTCAAGCTAGAGCTTATTTTCGGGATAGGTCTTATTTTCAGGGAAACAACAGTATTACAGATGTGACTTAGGCCTCCTGCTTAGCTGCTATTTCCACTACTTTGGACCTCGGCCTTATTTGAACAAACATAGACTTGGCCTTGGGCATAGGGAAGGATGTGGCACTCTATTAATCGAACGAGGGCAACCTAAGTCACCTCTGAGAAAAGATAGCACAGTCCTGAGAAACTGCACGAAGGAAACTCAAGCTAACTCCACCTCAATTTTGTTTAGCATACATATAGTCCTCAACATACGATTCGTTTAGTGACTGTTCAAAGTTACAACGCCACTGGAAAAAGTGACTGAGGACAATTTTTCACGCTTACGACCACTGCAGCATCCCCATGGTCACGTGATCCCCTTTGGTGACCCTTTGCATTGACAGGCAAAGTCAATGGGGAAGCCAGTCAAGTTATTAACTTAACTACTGCAGCGATTCATTTAACATCTGTGGCAAGGAAGGTTATCAAATAGGGCAAAACGCCCTTAACAAATGTTTCATTTGGCAACAGAAATTTTGGGCTCAATTGTAGTCGTAAGTCGAGGACTACCTGTAAGATGGGAGTAGAGAGAAAGCCGGAGAGATTTTCAAGATTCTGTTATTCTACTTGACTATAATAAAATAGCATTCCTGCATTCTCAAGGCCAGTCTTACTGTATAATTATAAGGCAGTGATGGCAAACCTTTTAGAGATTGAGTGCCCAAACTGCAACCCTAAATCCACTTATTTATCGCAAAGTGCCAGGATTGCATCAGCATTGGGGTGCCTCACGGGAGCATGGCCCACTGGGTGGGGGTGGCTGCAGTGGTCACGGCAGACTGGGTGAGCGTGGCCGGGGCCAGTAGCTTGCCATCTCCGGGGCATCCCTGGGGGCCAACAACACTTGCTCGCTCACTTCCTGCCCTGTCGCTTCCAAATGCCACGTGCTCGCTACTCTGGCAAACTCTGCTGGGGCAATGGCGCGCATGCCTACAGAGAGGGCTCTGAGTGCCATCTCTGGCACGCATGCCATAGGTTCGCCACCACTGCTATAAGGTCTGGGTGCAAATCTCAAGGCTACCAAATAGTAGTACAGGCAACATTAGGATGGTAATGTAGAAACATTACAATTCAGGACCATGTAGACCTTGCAGTTCTGGGTTGCAAAATTCTGGACAATTACTAGATGGCAGCAAAGATAGGCAACCTAGTTCTGTGCTCTCACTTAGTGGTGGTCCAGATTTCTGCAGCGTAAATTTGGAAACTGGATGCAAAAGGTCTCCTGAGAGACAATCAGGTCCTCGAGACATGATCAAATGAAGTCATCCTGCTGAGTCATGTGTTGAGCAGGGCAGCATATAAATTAATTAATAATAATATAAAATAAAAAATAAAACAAAACAAAATAATAATCAGACCTATTGTAACAGGTCACTTACTGCTGTTCTTCAACAAACTGTTTCCGCATATCAGGGGTATACTGAGGAGCTGCTGTACGCATTCCAAGGAAGTGACTTTGTCCCATATATGGCATTCCCGCCGTTGGCATCGGACCGAGAGCCATGCCACCCTGTGGACCAAATTAGCAGCTCAATATTAAATAGCAAAAAACAAGGGAGACAGGGAGAGAAATACATGGTAAAGCAGTGGTTCTCAACCTTTCTAATGCCGTGACCCCATAATATAGTTCCCCATGTTGTGGTGACCCCCAAATGGGTGTGGCCACCAATAAGAGGGAGTAGGACAGCTAGGGAAAAGGGAAAAAAATGGTGGACAGCGTGGTTTGGCGACCCCCGTGAAATGGTCGTTCGACCCCAAATGGGGTCCCGACCCACAGGTTGAGAACCACTGTGGTAAAGGATCCAGCAGAGTGGGCTTCAGGAGACTCAAAAAATGTATGTGAGATTTCTTATAATGAGATCTCACCATCTAAATACATGCCCATTATCTGTCCATGTTATTTCATGTGTATAAAAATATATGAAGAATGGTTGCTGGAATTGGGTATGTCTAGTTCAGGGGTAGGCAACCTTGGCTCTTTTATGACTCGTGGTCTTCAACTCCCAGAATTCCTGAGCCAGTCATGCTGAGGGGAAAGGGAGAGGTTTCCATGCTGAGCCATGCTGGCTCAGGAATTCTGGGAGTTGAAGTCCACGAGTCATAAAAGAGCCAAGGTTGCCTACCCCTGGTCTAGTTTAATGAAAAGAAGGACGAGGGGTGACATGATAGCAGTCTTCCAGTATCTCAGGGGTTGCCACAAAGAAGAGGGAGTCAAGCTATTCTCCAAAGCACCTGAAGGCAGGACAAGAAGCAATGGATGGAAACTGATCAAAGAGAGAAGCAACCTAGAACTAAGGAGAAACTTACTGACAGTGAGAACAATTAATCAGTGGAACAACCTGTCTCCAGAAGCTGTGAATGCTCCAACACTGGAAGTTTGTAAGAAGAGACTGGAGAGCCATTTGTCTGAAATGGTATAGGGTTTCCTGTCTGAGCAGGGGGTTGGACTAGATGACCTCCAAGATCCCTTCCAACTTCTTTATTATTATATGAATTACAGCTAGTCCTCAACTTGCAACCATTTGCCTAGTGACAAGTTCAAAGTTACAACAGCACTGAAAAAAGTGATTCGCTTAACTGTGGCAGAAAAGGTTGTAAAATGAGGCACAGGTCACTTAACAACTGCCTTCCTAGGAACAAAAATTTTGGGCTCAATTGTGGTTGTATGTCAAGGGTTAAAGGTTGCAAATATGGCACACCACTCTGTGAGATGTATGTTTATGTTGGATGGAACTGTCTCATTCCTATTTCATTGACCGGTTCCACTAGATCAGGCAGGGATGCTTCCTTACGCACCGCTTCAGTGAAAGAATTTTGACTGGTGGAGTCTGGGAAGAGAGCCTTCTCTGTCATTGTTCCACTCTATGGAACATCTTGCCTCTGGAGGTGAGGCAGGCCCCCACTCTCCTAGCTTTTCAGAAGAGCATTAAGACCTGGTTCTGCCAACTGGTCTTGGGGGGGGGGGTGTCTAAGAATGTCATGCAACCCTGGAGGTGGTTGGTGGGCTGAAGGTGCTCTTTTTAACTTTGCAATTGTTCTTTTTAACTGTTTTAATTTTGGGGAGGACTTTGGTATTCTCTGAGCTTGGTCGTTTTCCTTGAGATGTTTCATTACCCAAACTAGGTAACATCATCAATGCACACTGATGATGTTACCTAGCTGGGTAATGAAATGTCTGCAAGAAAACAACCAAGCTCAGAGAGCACCAAGACTCCCCTTCCTTCCTTCCTTCCTTCCTTCCTTCCTTCCTTCCTTCCTTCCTTCCTTCCTTCCTTCCTTCCTTCCTTCCTTCCTCCCTCCCTTCCTTCCTTCCTCCTTCCCTCCCTCTTTCCCACTCTCCCACCCTCCCTCCCTCCTCCTCCTTCCGCAAATCCCACTCCCTTCTAGCACTAATAATATTACCTAGTTGGGTAATGAAACATCTGCAAGAAAACAACCAAGCTCAGAGAGCACCCAGGACCCCTCATTTCAACCCTGAGCTACAAAAGCTCTCCTTTATTGGTGTTTTAATTTTGTTTTTAACTACGGCTTCTATAGGATTTTATCATTTTATTTGTAAACCGCCCAGAGTCACACAATGCGGGTATAGAAATTGGATAAATAATCCTGATACAGATTAAAACCAGGCAGCTTGAAATCGACTCAGCACATACCTGCATAGTCATTGTTCCGGGAGGCATCTGAGAACCGTAATTCATCCCCATCATACCGTGCATATTGGGCTGCATGACAGGCACCATTGGGAAGCTCTGTTGTTGTATTGGAATCATCCCTACGCCAAAACATTAGAAACTGGTTAGGATTCCTGTTGAGTCAACTTCACCACTGGACACAGGAGGCACAGGGCAAGAACAGATACAACTGGGCCAATCTATTAGCTACAGTTAAGGGGCTGGAGGGGGGGTCCTAGTAGACCTTCCTGCTTCTGAAAAGCAGATGCTGGATGCTGGGCTTCTTACTCAGGCAAAAGCTTTTCTTGGCAGGACAGCTGAAGGCAGTGCCAAGTTCTCATATTATTTAATTTGCAATAATGATCTGGCTGGATCGCTAGCCTCCTTTCCAAAAGACTAACCGATCCTACATCAAGCAGTGAGTTGGACTAAATGACCTCTCAGCAGGCATCCAAGGATTTTATCAATACAGACCTTAAATCTTTCAAACAAGAGTTAGAATTAACGAGGGGGGGGGGTCCTTGGTGCTATCTAAACCCGGATGTTTTCTCGGAGAAGTTTCATTATTCAAACTAAGTAATATCAATATTAGTGCCTGATAATATTACCTAGTCTGGGTAATGAAACATCTGCAAGAAAACAACCAAGCTTAGAGTAAGCGAAGGTCCCTTTGTTTCAACCCTGAGCTAAAAATATTCTCCTTTATCAGTTAGCAGTAACCTTGGTTAAGTTGCTAGGCAGTTTTAAAGATGCAAAATCAAAGGGGAAGGTCTTTGATCTCTGACAGTGAATCGGTCTTGACATTACCAAGTCCTTTAGCATCTCTCCAAAGAAGTACAGGGGCTTCAGTTTTAAGGGTGAGGCACTCACTTTCCAGAATTCTTATCTTTCTGCCACTTTCACTTTGCCCACACAAGAGCAAAATTCTAAAAACCCAAGCCCTACTCAAATAGTTACAGTCCTGAGTTAGAGTGGCACAGGGTTAAAGTGTAGTATTGCAGGCTAACTCTGCCACACAGCCTGGAGTTCGATCCTGATGGAGCTCAGGGTTGACTCGGACTGCAATAGCAATAGCAATAGAGCTTAGATTTATATACCGCTTCACAGTGATTTAATAATAATAATAATGATAAAGTTGGAAGGGACCTTGGAGGTCATCTAGTCCAACCCCCTACTCAGGCAGGAAACCCTATCCCATTTCGGACAAATGGCTGTCCAGTTTCTTCTTAAAAACTTCCAGTGTTGGCACATTCACCGCTTCTGGAGGCAGGTTGTTCCACTGGTTAATTGTTCTAACTGTTAGTTCTAGGTTGCTTCTCTCTTTGGTTAGTTTCCAACCTTTTGGGAACCAGGGGCATGGTTTTGTGTGCTGCCTGTGTCCCATGGATGGGCCTTTGCTTGTGCGGACGGGTTGCTGGCAGACTGGGAATTGTGGACACCTAATTTACAGCCCTCTCTAAGTGGTTTACAGAATCAACATCCATCCTCTCAAGATTGGTAAAATGAGGACCCAGATTGTTGGGGGCAATATGCAAATACCTCTACATTGTAAACCACCCAGAGAATGTTGTAAAGCACTATGGGGCGGTATATAAGTCTAAATGCTATTGCTATAGACGCCTAACTTAAGATACCTCATGTTTCTTCTTTTCAAGTCAGTACCCTTTCCATTTTAACCTACCTTGAGGGCCAAGGCCAGCAGCTACAGGAAAAACAAAGCTGAAACAAGAAGAAGAGAGGGGGAAAACGTTAATATGCCATTTAAAGAAAAGAACATCCCTTGTTAAAAGTCCTTAGCACGGATGGGTGCCCCCATGAAGCGGGGGAGAGATCCCGTTAGTTACTATACACGTCAATGAAAAAAAATATGCTAAGCATTTTTTCAGATTGTGAAAAACACCAGGGGACAATATAGAATTCACTTTCTACAGGGGGACAATCGAGAGCATCCTGTCATACAGCATCACAGTCTGGTTTGGAAGCATCCCTGCTTCGGACAGGAAGGCAGTGCTGAGAGTGGTGAGGACGGCCGAAAAGATCATTGGCAGTTCCCTCCCTTCCATCCAGGACATAGCACAGAAGCCAGGGGTGTCAAACTGCCGGCCTGATGCGTCACATGGAAGCTGTGCCCACCCCATTGCCGGCAATGGCAAAACTGTCCCGATATGTTGTGCGACGTCATGTGACGTCGCGACTTTGACATGTCTGACATAAGCTATACTTGAGCAGGATCCCTAAGATTGTCTTGGACACTACACATCCTCTTCATGACCTGTTTTCCTTGTTTCCTTGGGGGGGGGGGAGGTTCTGTGGTATCTGAAGCAGAACATCCAGATTCAGTCACAGTTTTGTGCCCTACAGTATTAACCTTGTGAACTCTCAAGCTTCCTCCTTCTATTATGTATTCAAGATGGATAGTGATTAATATTTATGTTACTTATATGTACGGGTGTAGGTTTATACATATGTTGTATATAGTATGTTTAAATGTGTGTTATGTATGTGTACACTTTGAGAGCGGGCAGCTAAATTTCATTTTTGATGTGTGCCGTTGTGCCCACAGTAAAAAAAAATGACAATAAAGGTTATATTATCTTATCTTTACAGCTTAAGTGTTTCAAGTCAGCCAAGTCATTATAGCTTAGTTTAAAAAAAAAATAACATGGTTTAAACAAGGCACAGGGTGCACTATATGAATCTTTCCATATGACTCCCTCCATTGATGTAAAATAATCCCATCTGCTTCCTTTTAAATCTTAAGGGTCATATTTCTGACTTTGTGCCATCTAATCCAAGTCATTGTTCAACTACTGAATTCACTGGTCATTAAACATCAGTTCCAAATATTAATTTATGCTGAGTCATTGGGTAGTTATCTTTGTTTTTTATAGAGATTTGTAAAAAATAAAATAGGAAAAATTGGGAAAGAAAACTTTTTTTGCTCTGTTCTCCCCCCCTCCCCCCTCAATACATAGACTATTGGAAAACATATGCAAGTACTTAATACATGTTTTCCCATTTCTTTTTTAAATACATTTTCCCAGGTTTTTGCAAGTTGAACCAAAGCCACTTAAGCATAACCTCAATACCCTGGATTACAATGCTATCCAGGCAATTAATGGCTTTTTGATCCCCCATTAGAATGAATGTTTGCCAGCCAGGAAAAAAAGCAGTGTATTTCACAAAATCCTGAAGCAATAAGAACAAATTCCATGACAACATACAGGTTTTTTTCACAGACAGGAAAGAAAAGACATCCAGTTCATCAGTTATAATTGCAAATAATAGCACAATAAAAGTGCTGTCAGTCTCAATTTTGGCTCTTAAGACAGAAAAAAAATTGGAAGAAATAAAAAGTAATTAAATACTTTTGAGCATAAGAACTGAACAGGCCAAAAAGATATTAATGAAAGCAAAGTTATCTTCGATATTGTTGCAATTTAAAAATTAGACTAATGTTTGCAAGAGATTTAATATCATAATGTAATTTGCTTTATCCCAATTCCCTGTATTCTATGATATATTATAGGAGATATGAACTAAATGTAGCATTTGTTTCCATAATAGCAAAACAAATGCCTCACAAATCCCCAAGGTACAAGACTCATCTGCTGTTTCTCTTTGACAACTGGTTTGCAGTATAGTTCTCTAATTTTTTTTTTAATGATAAAAAATATTGTACACTGACAAGTATTGACCAAAATAACGGTACAAAAATGCTTCGGACTATGCGTTCTTGGGAGAAAAAAATAGCATTATGTTAGTCAGCACTGGGTATAAAATGCGCAGAGAAAAAAAAATATTGGTTGAGGTTTTTTGTCATTGGATAGGAGGAGAAAATGCATGGAGTATAATTAAAAAGACTGAAAGGCGAGAAAGTCAAAGGCATAAACTGGTTCCTCTCTAGATCTTGATAAGGTTCTTGAGATTATTCAATGTTAGGAGAAACCAGACATCTGAATCCACCCTACGCTAGTTATTGATTGCTTTGTCACGGGATGATGAGAATGCAATATGGAAAATAGCCTTTTTTTAGTCTAAGGGCAGATAGATGTGCTTTATAATTGTGCTGAACCATGGCCAGGATAGGGACTCCCATTATTTTAATAACAATAATTCAACAGATCGGCCTATCTCAGCTTGGAACTCTCAAGCTTTGGTGGACTACAAAACCCATAGAATCCAGGAAATGATGGGTCTTTAAACTAGGAGAACAAGATGGCAGAACTGATGGTGCAGTAGTTAAGAGTGCAGTATTACAGGCTAATTCTACGCACAGCCAGCAGTTTGATCCTGATGGGCTCAAGGTTGACACCCTTCCATCCTTCCGAGGTTGGTAAAATGAGGACCCAGATTGTTGGGGGCAAGATGCTGACTCTGTAAACTGCTTAGAGAGGGCTGTAAAGCACTGTGAAGCGGTCTATAAGTCTACTACTGCTATTAGGTCAGGGAAGACTATGCTAAGCCAGTGTAGATCAAGCAAGATTTCATGACATCTCCGGAACATCCTTCATGGATTGTGTGACATATCACTGCCTGTCTTTTTCTGAACTGACCAGTCACTCTTCCAATTTAAGTTTCACAAGGACAAATTGCAGAATTATATTCATGGACGTTCTTTCACGAATGAAGGCGAATATACGTGTCCCAGGATAATGTTGCAGGATCCAATCTGGGTCAGTCACCGGGACCCGAGATTTAGTCTTCCAAGCTTTGGGACTCATGCTGGAGCCTATCTAGAAAAGTTCCCTGAAGATGGGCACCAGCACAAGTCCAAAAGCTAGGAAGTCTAAACCTCTGGTCCCGGTGACCGACTTAGATTGGATGGACATGCTTTATTCAACTGCGATGTTGAATAATATCCCAACCATATATAATAATCAGCACCGCAAAAATTTATAACTGCTCTAAATGATTTATTACCAGCTTAGGGGGAGGTGAGATTGGACAATCCCAAGAGTAATTTCTTATATTATAGGAACTCCCCAAGTGATCACTTATTGCTGGCCATTGGCTCTTTTCCACAAAAAGGACGACAAAGTCTTCAAACATGGACTCTAAGCTAGTCCTTGACTTATAATCATTTGTTTAGTGGTCGTTTGAGGTTACAACGGCACTGAAAAAAGTGACATGACTGTTTTTTATGATTATACTGTACTTATGATTGTTGCAGTTTCCCCATGGTCACATGAACAAAATTTGGATGTTTTGTAACCTTCTGATAAGCAAACTCAATGGAGAAGCCAGGTTCATTTAGGAACTGACTTAACAGCGAATTATGACTACAAGTGAGCCCCAAAATTTCCATTGCTAAGCAGAACAGTTATTAAATGAATTGTACCCATTTTACAACCTTTTCTGCCCCAGTTGCTGAGCGAATCACTGCATCTGTTAAGTCAGTGGTTCTCAACCTGTGGGTCGGGACCCCATTTGGGGTCGAACGACCATTTCACGGGGGTCGCCAAACAACGCAGTCGGCCATTTCTTTCCCCTTTTCCTTAGCTGTGCTACTCCCTTTTTATTCTATTGGCTTTTGAAAGCCAATAGAATAGACTCTCTTGAATAGAGTCTAATTCTATTGGCTTTCAAAAGCCAATAGGAATTATCCAGGCTGTCTCTGCTCTGCTGAGCCCGCCAAAAGTCCCATTCTGCAAACGGTGCTGCACCAGTTGAGTAGTCCTCGACTTACGACCGGTTGAGTAGTCCTTGACTTACGTCCGGTTGGGGGTTGCAGCACAGTTGAGAACCACTGTGTTAAGTGAAGCATGCAGTCATTAAGCAAATCTGGTTTCCCCCACTTGAGTTTGTTTGTCAGCAGCCAGCTGGGAAGCTCACAGATAGTGGTCACATGATCCCAGGAGTCTTCAACTGTCACAAATACATGCCAGTTGCCAAGTGCCCAACTTTTGACCACATGAGCACGTGGATGCTGAAACAGTCATAAATGTCATAAGCCACTTTTTTCGGTGCTATTGTAACTTCAAATAGTCACTAAATTTTAATTTTGGCCACTTAAAGATGTGTAGACTTTAACTCCTGGCTATATCCCACATATACACATACGATGCTCCAATTAATAGCTGTTCATTCTAGGAGCAAAGGCTCAAATATCTCTGGAGCGTATCAGGTTGGGTAAATTCGATCTATCAGTATAGCAGATCTAATTCAGAATACAAAAGAGCTGAAGTTAATAACTACACGTGCAGGTGGATGGCTTGATTAATCACCCCCTCCTACAAGAGAGGTCAATCCATTTTATTTCAGAGTTCATATCTGCATATTATAGTTAAATCCCCCTATTGATATCTGAATAAGACTCCTATGGTGCTGATGGTGACAACAGCAAGGAAAAGGAGAGCAGGTATCCACAAAAGGTGATCCAAAGTGTCATACAACCCAAGCCTGGCCTTGCTCATTGCCATTTAATGAGGGAAGGAAATAAAGGAAAAATCATTAAACATAGATGTCTTTCTAAAGAAGGGGTGATCTATTTATAAGAGCTTATGCAGAAGAGAACATTTATTAATTACACTCAAAGTTACACTCAAAGTTATGCAGAAGAGAACATTTATTAATTATACTCAAGAAAAAAGAAAATGTAAAACTATTGTTTTTCTGATGCTAAAGGTCCTATAATATTACATACAATCTGCAACTACTGTGCTTAATTAAAACTTTTTTTTATAGATATAACAGCCTGCAATGTCATTTTATGAAGACTGAGTATTTTTAAAAAGCCCTGGGTCTGTCTGTTTCTCTGTAGTAAAAGGAAATGAAAACTTATTAATCAAACTCTCCAAAGCTTATCTGCCCACAAAACCTTTTATTAGCTTACTCATAACCAAGTGTGACGATAGAGTTGGCTGGAATTTCAAAAGAATTTTGATGAGAGGCAAAAGTTAATTTGGGGGATTTTAAAGAGCTTAACTGTGGACAGGACTACAATGTTTTTTTAGGAGAAAATTGATCACTAATCCTAGCTATTTAAAATACTGATACTATTGCCAATATAGGCAGTTCCCTGGCTAAACATCTAAAGCTCCTTATACCAAAAATGGTGGATGTTTTCCTTCCTCAACCCTATGGGTAGTCCTTAACTAATAACCATTTATTTAATGACTATTGGAGCATCATCATGGTCACATAATCAAAATTCAGAGGCTTGGCAACTGGCATGTACTTACGTCAGTTGCACTGTCCTGGGGTCATGTGACCACCAGCTGGTTTTCAACAAGCAAAGTCAATGTGGGTAACCAGATTCACTTCATAACTGCAGTGATTTGTTCAAAGGTTGTGAAATCAGTCACAGCTCCATTAACTTAGTAACAGTAATTTTGGTCCCAACTATGGTTGTAATTTGAGGACCACCTGTACAGTTCTTTATAATTCAATCTCCTAATAGTACATTATTGAGGTAGCTAGAGTATGAATGACCATTGGGCATGATTAGTACTTAAACAGGAAATCACCAGGAAATATTTATTTATGTTCCACCTTCTTTGTAAATAACTCAACGCGGCAAACGCACACAGTATTCCTCCCTCCTCCTATTTTCCTCACAACAATCACCTTGTGCAATGAATTGGATTGAGAGTGAGTGATTGGCCCAAAGTCATCCGGGGTTTTCATACCTAAGGTGCAACTAGAACTCACAGTCTCCTGGTTTCTAGCCTAGTGTGCCTTCACTGCTAGACCAAACTGGCTCCAAAGTTAAAGACTAAAGTCCCTGTTTTTTCAAACTTGGCAACTTCAAGATGTGTGGACTTCAACTCTCAGAAGTCCTCAGCCAATATGCTGGCTACGGAATTCTGGGAGTTGAAGTTCAGACACTTTAGTTGCCAGAGCATGAAAAACATCAGGCTGGATCCAGAATTAAACAAACAGACACACCCACACAATCCTGGAGACAGGTAATGGTAAACCACTTCCTTTGTGTTGACAAAAAAAAAAAAAAGCTCTGTATGGATGTGTTCCTGTTCTCACCACAAACTGAACTCAAGGGATGTGTGTGTGTCTGTTACTTTACCTGTATTGTTTGTTATAAAGATTTGAAATGCTCACTTCCTTTGTAAATATGTTGGAGAAAGAAGAAAGAAACATATAGTACTTTCATCATGAAACGATTTCTATAATTGAAAAGAGATCTATGAGGCTAAAAGACATTAAAATGTATTTAGCATTACATCTATGCTGGGAGTTTAAACTCTAGTTCTGATACCAATTTATCAGGAAACGTCTACCCAGTATAGGAAATACAGGAGTAAACAAATTATTTTCCCCCCTCTCCTTAATAGGACACATATGATATTAAGTGAGGAACTACTGTTTGAACCAGATATTTAATTAAGCATCAATAATTGGAGGTTTCATAACCATTTCAAATTCTTGGCTCAGCCCTGATACTATTTAATGGAAACTGTAAAATAAAGAGCTTCCCATCATTTACAATATATTCTTCCAATTAAAAAAATGATACTGGAAATAAGGATAAGAATCTAATCTATTCCCTAACAGTATAAAATATGAAGAGAAGTAGCATTTAACAGTATAAAATATGAAGAGAAGTATATTTAATTTAGTCTCTCTATGTGTATCTTGTACATACATATACATACATATACACTATATTTATTTATTCAAAACATTTATATAACTGCCTATCTTCTAACCAACTCTGAGTGACTCTTAATAAAGGCTAAAACAACATGTAAATCATATTAAAACTAAAAAACCCCTAAACAATCAAAAATTAAAACACTAAAAACAACAGAAACCTGGCACCAGGTCATCCTAATATTCTAATTTTATAATAATTAATATAAAGACCTTTCTTGCCACAGTTGTTAAGTGAATCAGTGTAGATGTTAAATTAGTAAAAGGGTTGTTAAGTGAATCCCCATTGACTTTGCTTATCAGAAAGTCACAAAAGGTGATCGCAGCACCCTCCCCCCCATGAGATTTCAACTGTCATAAATACAGACCAGCTGCCAAGTGCCTGAATTTTGATAACATGACCACTGGCATACTGGGTCATAACTATGAAAAATGGTTATAAGTCAGTTCTTTTCAGTGCCATAACTTTGAACAATCACTAAACAAATGGTTGTAAGTCAAGGACTATCTATAAACTAAATAACCACCTCCAATAAACATTCACAGAAGTGGTAGTGAGATTTGATATATACAGTCTTCAATGCATTCAGAAAAATGCTCAATTAGTGTCCGTGCATGTGTGCATATATATACAAATATCCACCCACCCATATGTGTGTGTATGCAAATTGTCTGCGTTTATGGTTACATGTTTTAAAGGCTTTTTTTTTTTTACTGTTAGCTAGCCATGAAACTGAAATGGTTGGGTGGGAATGGGTTTTGTATGAGAATGCATTCAGAAAAATGCTCAGCCAGTATATGAAAACAAAATCCCCTGCTGAATTTTTTATAAATCCACCCAGGGTGCAGGTGTTCACATTCACACGCCCACTATGGTAGTGCGACTGCATACAGACATACATGATACCAATAAAGGAGAATTTTTATAGCTCAGGGTTGAAATGAGGGATCCTTGCTGTTCTCTGAGCTTGGCTGTTTTCTTTCACACATTTCATTACCCAAGCTAGATAACATCATCAGTCCTCGTCAACTAGTCATCATCAACTAGTACTGATGATGTTACCTAGTTTGGGTCATGAAACCTCTGCAAGCTCAGAGAGCACCGTGGACCCTCACAATTGTCCCAAAGGTGCTTTTTCCAAGAGGCAATTGGATTTGCTTGTTTTTCTTTGAAGTTGTTTCGCTTCTCATCCAAGAAGCTTCTTCAGCTCTCATAGCTTTTATGAAATGGATTGGCAGTATTCCAGTATTTGAAGGGCTGCCACAAATAAAGAGGGGATCAACTTGTTTTCCAAAGTACCAGAAAGCAAGGCAAGAAACAACGGGAAAAGCAACCTGACAGTGAAAACAATTAACCAATGGAAGGGTTTGCCACCAGAGGTTGTGACTGCTCCATCACTGGAGGTTTTTAAGAAGAGACTGGACAGCCACTTGTCTCAAATTGTATAGGGTCTCCTGCTTGAGGAAGGGGTTGGACTAGAAGACCTCCAAGGTCCCTTCCAGCTCTATTCGGATTGGCCCCACATTTCAACCCCCAGCTACAAGTATTCTCCTTTCTTGCTATCCTATCTGTCTGCATGCAGACGCACTACCGAAGTGGGCGGTGTGGATGTGGGCACCTGCACACCGAGTGGACTTATCAAAAATCAGACCTATGTGAATTTTGTGTGCAAGAGAAATTCGCACCCCTGTAGGAGCCAGGCGGATTTCTGGGGTACCCTCGAAAGTCACTGGGGACCCCCCCCTTTCGCTTGGGCGAGCAGGGCTCCGAGGGGACCGACCCCACCGGATCCCACCTCGAATAACAGGCAAGGGCGGGTCTGGGGGCTTCCCACCCACGCTCGTGTCACGGCAGACCCACGCCTTCCTAGCCTCCTTGGCCCCGCAGAGCAACCCAGACCCGCCGACACCACAGATGGACGACGGGACACATCGGAACCCCTCCTGAACGACCCTTCCCCCCCCCGCGAGCCCTCCTCTCTTTGCCCGCCCAACCGCCACTCCGTTGCTTGGCTACCTGGCGGATCCGGGGCTTCCCGCCGCCGCTGCTGTCGCTGCTCCGGCGCCTCCCGCCGCTCCACTCGGCATCCCCGGCGGCCCGGCCGCGACGCTCGGCACCATGGCGGGGGCGGCCCCGGCCCCCAGCCCCGCCGGCCGCAGCGCCATCTTGCCGCCGCCGCCTCCTCTTCGCGTCAGCTGGGCCGCCGCAGCGACTTCCGGGGCAGAGCAGGCGCGCGCCTACCCGCCCGCGCGGGGTGTTGGGTGTCGCTCGTGGGCTGTGAAGCTCCCCGGTCTGGGGCCGGAGGGGTGGAGGCGCCGGGAACCCTCTGATCAGGGCAGTGCAATTATCCCCAGGCGGAAAAACGACTGCAGATGCAAAAGGCTCCTGATGCAATCGTGCCCGGTACAGAAAGGACTCCAGATACAATCGTCCCCGGCACAGAAAGGACTCCAGATACAATCGTCCCCGGCAAGAAAGGACTACAGATACAATCATCTCCGGCACAGAAAGGACTCCACATGCAATCGTCCTTGGCACAGAAAGGATTCGAGATACAATCGTCCCCGATAGAGAAAGGACTCCCAATGCAAAGGACTCCACATGCAGTCGTCCCCGGCATAGAAAGGACTCCACATGCAATCGTCCCCGGCACAGAACGGATTCCCCATACAGTCGTCCCTGGCACAGAAAGAATTCCAGATACAATCGTCCTGGCACAGAAAGGACTCCCAGTGCAAAGGACTCCACATGCAATCATCCTCTGCACAGAAAGGACTCTGGATGCAAGTGTCCCCGCCAGCTCCCTTTTGGAGTAGATGCAATAAGCACCTGGGAGAAGGGGCGTCCTTGCCACCTTGAGATATAGTGGGTCTGCCCGCCGAGCTGACTGGGGATGATGGAAGCTGGAATTATTCCGGAAGGCACCCTGGCTGCAAGCAGACACCTGGAAGAAAGGGAGTGACTGCCACAAAGATTGTGTAGGTGCTATTGTTTGGGGTTGGAGGACAGGTGCTTTTTCTGAACGGTGGACGGAATGGATTTGAGAGTTTTTCAACTTAGCAATTTTTAAGAGTGTGTAGGCGTCAACTTCCAGAATTCCCCAGCCAGCAGGTCAAGTGAACTCAATCTGTTTACATACCCGCTTGAACTGACTGCAGTTTAAGTTCATTTTAAGAGGCGCCATTGACCTAAGTGGGAAAATATATACACAGACCCTGCAGCCTAGTTTTGACATTCATCTACCTTGGAGCAGTATCTCCCATCTCTGCTTCCCTTTTTAAGCACCCACCTTTAAAAGCACAGGAAATCTGCCTAGTGGTGGGATTCAGCCAGTTCGGCAGAACTGGTAGTTAATTTTTTTGTTGGCCAGGCCCAGAATGGACTTCCGGAAGTGGCATCCACACAGAGAACCAGTTGTTCACATATTTGAATCCCACCGCTGAAGCTGCCTCAAGAAAAGCATGCAATGTTGATCTTACGCCTAAGCCATGATACCTGGCAATTCCAGCTGAAAGTTAGGATGGCAGGAACTCGTGATGACTCTATTAAACCTCCCAGTCTTTTATAACACTTAATCTCAAAATTGCACATACAGACCAAAATACAAAAATAATATTTTAGCAACACAACCCCTTGGGCCAGGGTTGAGAGAAATATGGTTGTAAGTTTATAACCTCAAAGATCCAACAGCTGTCAGTGAATTATAATATAATTTTGGACTTGTGCTGGAGCCCATCTTCAGAGAACTTCTCTCTAGCAGTGTATGCTGTTCTGTGTGTGGTATAGTGCCAGTTGTATGTGGCTTTTTAGATGTTGATTGGGGTGTGTTGACTGGCTTTTAAGCCATTTAGCTTATGCTGCCCAGCCCTCACCTTCTAAGTATTTGATAGGCTAGTGGTAAATCAGCACTCCTGTTCACACACCCCAATATTACAAACCATAGTGGGATAACTATTAATCTATGGCAAGAGTCCCCATCCCTCTTCCCTCCCTACCATTGCTGTCGGTCTGTGGCGCCACAAAAGTTGGGGACTATTAATCTATGGCAGGGGTGTGAAACTGCCAGCCCGTGGGCCAGATGCGTCACGCGGAAGCCATGCCCACCCCATTGCTGGCAATGGCAAAACAGTCCCGTCATGAGTTTGACATGTCTGATCTATGGTATTCAAAAATCAAGTCTGAAAGTACCTTTTGAGACTAAGAAATTTTTGGAAAAGGATGAAAATTTCTGCCCTTTAATAAAATGTGTTAGTCTGAAGAAGTGCTACCAGACTACTACTATTTGCAAATTATCTGAATTCTTGCAGAAGAGTTCTTTTCCATCTTCTTTCCATGGATTTTTAAATCCACTCCTCATGTATTAAGGGTACAAATGAAGACTGCTACAATAATGATGATAATGATAATAAAATAATAATAATATAACGAAGTAGTAGTAGTAGTTGGAAGGGACCTTGGAGGTCATCTAGTCCAGCCCCCTGCTCAGGCAGGAGACCCTATACCATTTTAAACAAATGCCTGTCCAGTCTCTTAAGAACTTCCTGTGCTGAAGCATTCACAACTTCGGGAGGCAGGTTGTTCCACTGATTAATTGTTCTATCAGGAAACTTCTCCTTAGTTCTAGGTGGCTTCTCACTTTAGTTAGTTTCCATCCATTGCTTCTTTTCCTGCCCTCAGGTGCTTTGGAGAATAGCTTGACTCCCTCTTCTTTGTGGCAGCCCCTAAGATATTGGAACACAGCTATCATGTCCCCCTTTGTCCTTCTCTTTGTTAAACTAGACATACCCAATACTTCACGTGATCTTGATTCTATCCCTGTTAATGCAGCCTAGCACTGTGTTGGCTTTTTTGGCAGCTGCAGTATACATTTATGTGACTGTCCATTCGGACTCCGAGATCCCTCTCAGTTACTACTATTGAGCAAGGTACCACCTATACCATACTTGTGCATTTGGTTTTTCTTGCCTAAATGTAGAACCTTACTTTTTTCACCATTGAATTTCATTTTTTTAGATAGGGCCCAATGTTTAAGTCTGTCAAGATCCTCCTGTATCTTAAGCCTGTCTTCTGGAGTGTTGGCTATTCCTACCAGCTTGGTTCCCAATCTATCCCGTTCCAAATCATTGATGAAGATGTTGAAGAGCACTGGGCCCAGAACAGAGCCCTGGGGCATCCCACTACATACTTCCCCCCATGTAGATGCGGTTCCATTGAGGACCACATGCTGAGTATGGCCGGTCAGCCAGCTACGGATCCATCTGGTGGTGATGCTGTCTAACCTACATTTTTCTATCTTATCAAGTAATAGGTTGTGGTCTACTTTATCAAATGTTTTACTAAAGTCCAAGTAAATTATATCCACAGCATTCCTCTGGTCCATTATAAGGACAACACAATTGTGTCTTATATTCCCATCATGGAATTGGTTACGTTCTAATATTTGATCTCCCATAATCAATGACAAAGATTAGTAGTAGAAGTTCTCCCTTTTATTGTGAGCTAAGAGTCATTTATCAGAAGAGGAGTCCTTTGCATCTGGAGTCCTTTCCGTACTGGAGATGACTGCATCTGGATATCTTTTGTGTGGTGTGACGCTTGTATTTGCATCATCACATTGTCACCAAAAAGGATGATCTGATATCAAGTTCATCCATAACCAGGGGCTGGGGGATAAGATAACCTGTAGCTAAAGGTACAATACAAAAAAGCAACTCGCATATATCAAAGAATCAAACATATATCAAAGTATTTGCCCATAAAAAAAGGGTTCCTCAGATTTATACTTCTTGCAAAGATCAAAGAATCCTTGTTTATTTCGACAAAGCAGCTGAATCAATTTTTTGGAGTTGCCTGTATCTGAGAATTGTTATTTCGGACTTCTTTGGAGTTCTTTTTCCTTTTCTGGACAAGGGTCCTATTAAAAATAAAAGGAACAAATAAGTTATAATGACCACAGCCAATTTTTGAAACTTTAAAACCAAACCAAAAGTTAATGACTGCTTAACTTTTTTGTAGTTGGATGTACTCATTTCAATAGGAATAATACTAAATTAAACCTGTATACCACCTGACTTCCAAGGACTCTGGGTGGCTTGTTTATAGCTGAAAACCCACAATCAGTGGGAGCAAACTACTTTGTATTCAGGTGGCTTGAAATTGACTTTCAAAAGGAATAATGGATCCTTGGAAATAAAGGTTGTCCTTTTTTTTAGCGACCACAATTGGGACAGGCAATTTGATCATTAAGCAAGATGTTTAATAAATGAAACCATGACTGCTTATGATCTCATTTCCATTTTCCTTCACTTTACAGACCTGCAAAGGTTATAAATGCAAGGATTGGTTGCGAAATTACTTTTTCATCAACTTTGTAACTCTGAACAGTCGCTAAATGAGGCAGTCACTAAATAAAGACCACCTGTACTACCTTGATTCAAAACTTTGAAAAATCACAGCCAGAAACAAACAAAGGCTATTCCCTGTATTCCATACAGCATAATTTAATTGTATTGTTTTTAATGCCACTTATAACACAGCAGCTTCCAGTGAAATATTAATACAAAGTAGAATAAACAGAACGAAGATACTGTGTTTATATGCTAATAAAGAAGGGAATGGGATGAAAAGCCTATTAAGAGCTATTTTTTTAAAAGCTAACTCAAAGAGTGACAGATTTATATAAAAACAGTCGCATCTATTGCTATGTTAATAAGATTTTTGACACACAGAAGTAGTATACTGTCTAAAGCTATTTGAGATGGTTCTGCTGAAGATACGCAGTCCTGTTTAAGCAGGGGGTTGGACTAGAACAGGGCTTTTCAACCTTTTCACCCATTTTGCCACTTTTAGGATATGGCAACATCCGAGTACCACCAGTCGCCTAGCAAAGTGTCAAAAACTTGATGACCAAAAAAGGAAAAAAGTGATAAAGTACAGGTAATCCTCAACTTACAATAGTTTGCCTAGTGACTGTTCAAAGTTACAATGGCTCTGAAAAAAGTGCTCCCAAGACACAGCCGAGAAAGACTACCTGGCCACACTCTTTCTCCTGTCCGAGGTTTTCATTGTTGTGAGCATTTCTGTTGAGGATTGGCAGCGGGGGGAGGGGGTGCTTGGTTTTTATTCCCCCCATCTGCTGGGTGGTTGGAGCAGGTTTTGGTCACTTCACACGATCCTGGGACACTGTGACCGTCATAAATACGAGTCAGTTGCCAAGCATCTGAATGTAAATCACAAGACCCTGGAGATGCTGCAACATTCCAGCTGATTGGTGCTTCTTCTGGGCTCAGCAGAAGCGCCAGGATCAGCGCCGAGCTCCAGCTGGAGCCTGGCACTGATCCTGGTGCTTCCGCTGAGCCCTGACAGCCCTGCAGCTCCAGCCATCTCTCACTCAGGCTTGTGCAATGCTGCCACCGGTTCAGCTCATTCCCCTCCCCCGCTACTTTTCTAGGATGGTCGCGTACCACCTGCCAGGTGCCAAAGTACCACAGGTGGTACCTGTACCACTGGTTGAAAAGCCCTGGACTAGAAGACCTCCAAGGTCCCTTTCAACTCTGTTATTCTGTTAAGGATCCACTGGGAAATGATTCATTCCTTAATGGGAAATTTACAAAATGGCAAATTGAAAGCACCCTACTCTTAGGTCTTTCTAGGAATGTTCTTAAAAATTGCTGGTGTTATTTCATTGGCTCCTATATTTACATCTATATGCAACACTTTTCAAAAAATCTTTTGGGCACAGGAGCATGTACTTACTTGTTTTTCTTGGCTGTCTTTTGTAAGAACTTAGGAGATGTAAGGATGTGTGCCCTTTCCAAGGGCTTCTTTATAAATTTTTTCTTTTGCTTGCTGAATATGACATTCAGGGCAGGGGGAAAAGAAAGGAAAAATAAAATAGAAAAAGTTCCTTAGCAAAGTTTACAGTTCAGTTTCCTTCCTTGCTCCCTTTCTTTTTCCTGTTCCTTATTGTGAACCTGAGCTGGCAAACTATCAAATCCACCAGAGAGCTAATCTGAACAGAACTCCTCATTCTGGTCTGGACAGTCAGTGCAAACCATAATTTGGTTATAGGAATACCTGACCCCTCCCCCCCAAAAAAGGGGAGGGAAGAGTGAAGGAGAAAGAGTGAAAGCATATGGCATGTTTCAGTCACCTTGAACTAGAAACAAGTGTGAAAATTCAGTTGCAAGAACACAAAATATATATGACTGGCACATATTGCACCAAATTGTAAGCAGCCTCTCCATTTCACTCATTCAATTTCTAAAAGAAGGCAGAGGGTGGGGGTGGGAGGAACCCCGGAAACTAAAAAGAGAAAAATAATATTTATTTAATTTAGGAAAGGAAATTGGGGAGAATTCAAAATAAAATAACTAAATAAAAGACACCTTGAGCTGGGACCATATTTGTAATTTTGAGAACATGTGGTAAGTATCCTCAAAAAAAGGCATGGCTTAGAAGATTTGCTTAATGTGATATAATAGACGGATGGATGGATGGAAAGATTGATTGATTTATATAGCTGCCCATCTCACAAGAAGTTATTCTGGGCTACAAAGTTATAAAATAATAAAACATATAAGAACAATCATTATTTAAAAAGTTTTAAAAGCATATCAGAGAATAAATTAGTAAGAAAGCAACCTCAAGATCTCACTGGTTAGTCACAAAGAGCCCATTTACCGGAATTAGCCTCCACCAGGCCCAGCATGACTCTACCATCCCAAACATTTAGCGTAGGTCTCATTCCTGACAACTATATGTAGTCCTCGACTTACAACCATTCATTTAGTGACCATTTGAAGTTAAAATGGCACTGAAAAAAGGGACTTATGACCATTTTTCACACTTAGGATCACTGCAGCATCCCCATGGTCACATGATCAAAATTTGGATGCTTGGGAACTAAGATAGATAACCTTTATTGTTATTTTTTTTTTTTACTGTGGGCACGTTGGCACACATTACAAATGAAATTTAGTTGCTGGCTCTCAAAGTGTACACATACCTAACACACATTTAAACATGCTATACACAACTGGCTCATATTTATGAGGGTTGCAGTGTTCCGGGATCCTGTGACTACTTTTTGCAACTTTCTGACAAGCAAAGTCAATGGAGAAGCCAGATTCACATAACGACCGTGTGATTCACTTAACAATTGCAGTGATTCACTTAACAACCATGGCAAGAAAGGTCATAAAATGGGGCAAAACTCCTTTAACAAATGTCTCGTTTATCAACATGAATTTTGGGCTCAACTGTGGTCATAAATCGAGGACTAACTGTAAAAAGTGATGCTCCTGGAGCTTGTTTTGTAGCATGCCACTTCCTATTTTGTTTATTTTATTTTTTAAAAAATCATTAAAAAGATCATAAGGAATGGGAAATCTGGAAGACATTAAGCAGGGTTTCTGAGGACTCTGATCGGTGCCTTAGACCTGGCTCTTATTATGCAGT